AAAAGAATTTTCTTACAAAATTTAAGGTGAATTCTTTCGATTTCTTTTGATTTTGTAACCCCCATATTTCACTTGAATAAAATAGACCCGAAAAAAAATCAAAAAGTTAAAAAATTTTGGGTTTTCTTTTTAAATTTTTTTTGCATTTAAAAATAACACTTTCATTGATTTCAAAGTTTTTCCCCGCCCCAATTTTGTTGATTTAATGAAAAAACCGGGTATAATTAAAAAACATTTCCCTAGATATTTAAAAAATATTTAAATTTCCCAAAATTGCCCCTTATACAAAATCTCATTTTTTCTTAAGTCCCCACTTTACGAAAACCTAATTTGGTTTTTTGTACTTGACTTCGGGGACTCCATAGTTTGCAATACTCAAAATTTTAATAAAAGATTAGTGTTAAATTTTCATCCGGAGTTTTCCCCAGTAACCTTATCTGCAAACAAAAGTAAAATAAGAAAATTCATCATATTTACCCCAAATTTATATATCTTGCAAATAACTCTAAGTCTTCAAAAATGGAAAAATACGGGCGAAATTACCCCCCCTTGCTTAAAAAACAGTTTTAAAAAATAGAGTACAAATTTCCCGACCGAACACTGATTTTACTTTTTTACATGCCCTTTAATTTTTCTAAAATTTTTACCGAAAACCCCGTTTTATAAAATTTTAACCATAATGCATTTCAATTTTAAAATAATTGCCATTTTTAAAAAACAAAAAAAATAAAATCTTTTTTTTTCATTTAAATTTTTTTAACCAAATTTATCAAAAAACCAAACAGACCCCGACCCGACGCCGGGGCGACTGAAAATAGTTCCTTTTCGGAATAGTCTCCATTCTTGATAGTCGAGTGAAAACCGTTTCTTACTAACCCTTCATAAAAAATAATTTTTTTGCAAAAAAATTGATTTTTAATTCATATGCCCCAATAATATAATCTCTTATACCCCATAATGCAGTTTGTTAAAAAAATGCAGGTTGGCAAAATCGCTAGTTGTGGAAAAAAACGTCAAATTTTCTTATGTTCGAAAAATGTGTTTAGGTATACCGGAAAGAAACTTTAAAAAAAAGAAAAATGGCTTTTGACTCATTAATTCGGGCCCAAACTTCAAGCCAAAACTTCCCTTTCGTTTTTTAAAAAATTTGGGTTTTATGGGGTCCTTTCCCCGTATGCGTAATTTTTTTCCATTTTTTGGGAAATGTGTTTTAAAATTATATCGCCCCTATTTTATTCAAGTGTCATTAACCCATCCCCAATCAAGCCATTCGGTTTTTCCCAAAAATTTCCCCTTTTACGGTAAATTTGTGTAATGCACGAGTTTTCGACTTCCCATATTTTCTATTGTATAGAGAACAATAGAACAAAACAGATCGGTATTATTTTGCGTAGACCTGTTAAGCGGTCGGTTAAGGTTTTTCAAAAGAGCCGGTAGGTAATTCGTTTACCCACTAGGAATACGTTTATCGCTCCTCACATATGCACGGGGAATAGTACATGAAATGCTTTAGTTTGCAAACTTACTTGTCTAATATTTTTAAAACTTTTTGAAAATCCTTTAATGCAGATCTTTGTTCACTTCCGAAAAGAATTCTTGTAAATTCCTAAGTCATTTTTACGTTTTCACACATACGTTACTTTCCAACAATACAAAACATATTATTAACATTTTACTAACAAACTCAAAAAGAGTTTTCCAGTTTTACTTGGTGGGTACATGCTCTTGGATTTCTGCCCATTTTTTGTTTTCAATATGTTTCAAAAAATTCAAAATACTTTTTTGTTTCGTAAATTGTAGTTCAAACTTATGTTTTTTATTATTTCAGGCACGAACGGACACCCGGATAGAACCATTACGGAACGTCGGTCGTTCTACTCGGGTGCTACCTGATAGGGCACCTGAGGTCTTACTCCACCAGTAAAACTGGAAAAATCGGCATATGATCTATACCAAAAAAAAGTAAAGTTTTGTCCCAGATACTAAGCCGTACATTGTATTATCGGAACGATGACGCGTTAAGTAAACAGGCGTGTAAGCAACAAGGAGAGAAAAAAAGCTATAAACCATTTCATTAACCCAAATACAACGGATTATATTTCTGCCTGTGCTGAAATATGGCGGATTTACCAACTCCTTTACGTGACCCGGAGATTAAATATACACAAGTAAGCAAATTACCATTTTGGTTTCCATAGAAACAATTTAAAATATATATTTATGATCGCTTTTTAAAAAAAAACATTGCTGTGTTCTGAATTTTGACACCAGTTGAACTTTACGCTGCGTGTAGTATAGATGTTATTTGAATTAACACAAAAAAGTAACTAGAATTATTTGACAAAAATGAAATATAAATTTAAAATATTTAACAATTCTTAATAGTGATTTTAGTTTTAATTAGATTTTGGTGAAAGTTGTTTTCTAGATACAAAATTCCATTATTAAATGAAGAAAGAAATAGATCAATAAACGTCTGCTACAACCTCATGTCTTTAAGATGTCAGACGATCTCAGAAAATCTTGACAAACGCTCAATAATATGCCTAGCTTCATCGTCTGCTGAATATATGTAATGAACTTGGCCTGGTTTATATTCGGATCAGTTCATTTACATTTAAAGGGATTGTAATACAGACCAAACAGACGTGCAGAAGGCTGACTACTTTCTATTCCAATAAAATCTGAAAACAAGCTGTCAACTGCTCTAGTTTATTTTATTTGGTTTATGAGTTTGTATGCCACTGGTTAATATTTAGGTTAGTCAGCAAATTCTTTTGTGTCGCGTTGATCCGTATCTATCTGCATGCATTTTGTTATCTCGTTTAAGCATAAGCAATTACTAAATGTTTACTGCTGTGTTAAACAGTGTTATTTTAAAACTATTGTACGCTTAAAATAAATGGTTCATCGAGACGTAGTCTTCGGTTACTGTAAACTCGGCACATTTCGTAAATTATATTTATTTTTATATGGTTTTATATCAAATAATTCCATTAAAACCTTGCATATGGTACATGATATAGTTGTATACAGTCTGTCGAACATATACAAAATACATTTATATTATCAAAATCACTGATAATAAGAATAATTAATGTTTGACAAGGGATTACTAGATTAAAGATTATCTTGTCTTGTCACTATGTTAACGTGCTGACAAAACAGGAATACCAGCGATAGCTAGGATATACCAATATGCAATCCATGTATTTGAATCAAATTGTATCATAGTTTGGAGACCTTTCTGTTGAAAATGTGTCAGGGTTAAATCGTATACATATACATGCACAGTGCGTTAACTGGAGTGCGGGTATTAGTTACCCGCACTCCAGAGCATGCCCATTGATTGGCTCATTTTTGCTGGGGTTTACATATTGTGACGGCAGAGAAAGGGAAAGCGACAGAAATGTCATATTCAGATGTTCGTTCATTGGTTAATTTTTGCCGGGGTTTCATATTGTGACAACAGGGAACGTGCTTTTATGTTTGACTATGATACAAAAGAGAAAGAACACCAAAACACTCGGCAATCTGATTAATACTCGGGGGCTACGCCCCCCTCGTACAAATCAGATAGCCTCGTGTTTCGGTGCTCTTTCTATTACTTAATGTGGTAGAATAACCAGAATCACCATACTACGCAGAATTGTTACAGCCAAATAGATAGCCTGAATAAAGCAGCGCACTGCTGGCAATTGTTAAATAATAATACATGTATCTGGTATGTCCACATAATATATGAATTATATCTATGTTTAATGAGGGTCAGAAAATGCAGCTTTCTCTGTCGAGTACGCACCTGGACAAGTCACCAGCCATGTTGTTTTTTTAGAGGGGCTTAGTTAATTACCTCCGTACAATTTTCAAAGAGAATAAGCCAAAGATAATTATTTTGAGCCCAAACTTTATACTTACATCAATCTGGACCCCAAAAATATAGCAGTGACTTTTCCCGTTCCTTTTTGTCCCCAAGCCTACTTTAGGCTCCAAAAGGATAACGGAGCTGGTTAATAGCATGTGGAAAGGGTCCCCAAATTTTTTGGGGTAGTCTGGCTTCTGGGTTTTCCACTAACAGAAAAAGGGGATGGCATTAACTTGTCAGGTTTTTGATGACATGATAAGCAAAAATCAACCAAGCTCCCTTTCTTTGGGGCCCTTTTGTATAAAGACTAAATAAACATTTATTCTTTTACATGTATTACTGATTTTCCCCTTTTTTTTGGCTCCCAAAAGCTATTTTTATACTTCAAAACGCAAATGTATAATTTTTGGTTAATTATACATTTAAAAAACGTCTTTTGACATTAAAAATGGTTTTTTTTTTAAAATTGTTGTTGAATTTTATGGGAAAGCTAAAATTTATTATTTACTTTTTTTTTATCTAGATATTTTTCAACAAAGAATTGTGGGTTCAATGGCGGAAAGCTCACGGTACAAACCCGAACGGAAAAAAAATTTGCAATTTCCAAGAGGGTGTAAAAAGGTTTTAGACAAATTAAAGCTTTTTCGTCTATGCCGTATGCAAAAAACGAAAACAGTATTGCCCCCCTGAATAAGAATATTGATAATGTAATATTATAAGAATATGATAATGCTGTTAACGAACGTTCGTTCCTCGCGTCAGATATAATACTTAGAGAAACACCTATAATCGTCTGCTTCAAATAAACGATGTATTGGTTGATTAAAAACTGATAAAAAACTTATCAAAAATGATAATAGTATTCTGATTTCCAATGAAGAAAGTTGTTATGAAGGTACAAGAACTTCTAGTGAATAATTTGGAGATTACTTGTCTGCTTGATAATTCATGTAAGAAATTCCCTCATACAACACACATCGTTAACTAAAATGTGTCCTTAAGAACAAGACCCTTGTTAGACTGCTAGAATGACTTACACGATCATCTCTCCTGTAGCTTTGATAATTGTTCATATTAGTTGGAATTCTTGTTAATTTTACCCATGGCGCTAAAATGATTCCTACTGCATTTCCAGGCTGACATAGATAAGGCAGTGGCGGCCGCCAACAAAGCTATGGAGTTTGGGTCTCCGTGGCAACAAATGGACGCTAGTAAAAGAGGTGTGTTGCTGCGTAAGTTGGCCGACCTACTTGAGAGAGACAAATTGTATCTTTGTGTAAGTTATAAAAGATTTATAGATTTCCTTGAAATAATCGTCATATCTTTTCTTCTGTTAACGGCACGGAGCTGTAAAGGTCTCCTGATTTAAAACGGATGCAACTTGTCTGCTTTGCTTTTAATCATATTTTGTTAATATATATATATTGAATCCTTGAAGTATGCATACTACCAAAATTGACCATCTTTTCCTATTTTAGAGTCTTGAATCATTGGACAGTGGTAAGGTTTTCATGCCTTTGTACGCATTTGAGAGTGGTTTCGTTGCTGACATGTACAGATACTTTGCAGGATGGACAGATAAGATTCAAGGGCGTACTATACCTATCGGTAAGTAAACAGTTCGATAAGGACTTTTAGAGTCGAGTAAGTTTTCTAAATGACCCTTCACCGCTGTAATTTAAATTAGCATTTTCCGAGTTGGCTAACGAAACGTAGTTTGAGAATTACGATAAACCGTAAACAACATGTATATTTAAAAATGTGTTAGTATGACTATGAATGCAACTCTACATACAAGCGTCTTTGTATTTCTTCATGAATGGTAGACAGGAAACTATGAATGGGTATTCTAATTTCTATTAGTAAAACCGGAAATATAATTACATGAGTATATCATGTGTGTCTCAAACCTGACTAGAAAAAAAATGTTGACAAACAGGTAAGTTTGATTGAAGTATTGACTTGGAAAGCATCTCGTATCGCAAACAAACAAAAAAAGAAACGCTTAAAATTATGGAATTCAAGACCTAAACACTCTTTAGGCATGACATATATTTTCTGGATATAAACATGTATCTCAAAGTATTTAATATTAAATCGGATATAAACGTAGAACTTAAAGTTTCATATTGAACGATATGTTCTTCGGAAGTTGAATTCGCTTGTTTACTATTATTATTATTATTGTTATGATTATTATTATTATTATTATTATTATTATTATTATTATTATTTCGTACTGAATTAACTTGTTTTTATGAGTATTCAAACAATTTGTAATGTTTAATTGTAACTGAAACATACATTTTATTTATACATACAATGACATCTTATATATTACAGAGGGAGCGTATTTCTGTTATACAAGACATGAACCGGTCGGTGTATGTGGACAAATCATTCCCGTAAGATGTTTTACTTTACAACACCTTTTTTACAAAAATATGGGATATATATTATGTGACTCTTCAATTTTCATGTCATTTTCTTGATTTTTATGCTTCCGAGAGATCAACCTTTTTTCACATTTTTGAACTATTTTGTAGCCATTTTATTTTTAAAAGGGATATTATTTCTTTAAGATGCTACCTTTTCTGGTAAGTTTAAATATTAGGACAACAGATAAGTTTGAGGTTAAAGGATCAAAATGCAGATATATTAGATGAATAAGCATCAAGTTTAGATGTTAAAACTTCTTACAGCTCTGAGCCTATCAGTAACAATGGATTGTAATTATGACCTCAACTGTTTGTTTTTTGCTATGATTTAGAGTCTCACGGAAACTAGCCTTCAAAAATGTATTACTTCATCTCATATGTTAGTGTCGTATGCTAATTCATATATACATTTCTTTATTTATTCAAGTTTTTAAAGCTTCTATGAAGCGCCAGCAATAAATGAGTAAGAGGTCAATGTTGCTATTTCAGTGGAATTTCCCAATGGCAATGTTTGCTATGAAGGTTGCTCCGGCAGTTGCTTGTGGAAATACAGTAGTTGTGAAGCCTGCAGAACAAGCTACGCTATCTTCACTGTATATGGGTAAACTTGCTATTGAGGTATGCACTCATTATATATTTTTTACATGAAATTACGCTAGCTTTATATAATGAATAATTGTAATAAGTTTGTAATTATATTTTGTACGTCAAGCTGTTACAAAGCCGTTTTTCGTATCATGTTAAATGCGCATTTAGTTTCAGTAACACATCTATTCTTCTCTGTAGAAAATACAGACATGTATTGCATAATATTGTGATAGTATATCAAGAGATTTTTAGATACTTATTCTTTGTAGAAAATAGCATCAAATGTAAATCGTTTGTCATTAAATTACAAAATTGTAAACGAGGAAGTATTTTGATTTCCATATAAAATACTTAAACACTATCTTCTAATAGCCAAAACAATATTCTCAGTTACCTCGCTAAAGAGTATTTTTTCATAAATTGAAATAGACTACCAGAAAAAACACAGAAAGGTTTTTAAAAAAAAAATGGCCGTGGAAAATTAAGAATATGCTCTTTTCGGGGCAAGTCCACAAGCAAACTCAAAATCAGGCATATTTTTATAACCATATAATCTTGACTAGACCGTATCTATGTGAAACTGTGACAAGGGACTTGTGGTATACAATGAAGTAAATGTTTAAATTCACCTTTCAGGCTGGGTTCCCACCAGGTGTTATTAACGTCGTGCCGGGTTTCGGACAAACCGCCGGGGCCGCATTATCTTCTCACCCAAATGTGAACAAAGTGTCATTTACTGGATCGACTCAGGTATTTATATGTTCCTACAGCAAGGTGTAATAAATTCTCCTTGTTCCTCATATAATAAATACTGGTGTAATATCTTTTTATATGACGTGCACAATTAAATATTATGTTCAAAAAGTCATGTATGTTATTTTTATTTAAAATTTTTTATCACTGATCAAATCTATATTTTTGTTGAGTGTTGATCTTTTTCTGAAAAAAATCGTTACCTATACTACGTTTGTTTTTTATTGTTTTTTTTTTAATATACGTTGTGTATAAAAGTCGGTCCAGTTTCTTTCGATCCAAACACATTATTTCTTATAGGAAAGCATTGTGTCTGAAGTTGCCAATACATAGAACGCTTCTTTGGAAAAATCAGTAATTTTTGTCGTAAAGTTAAACCGCATGAATTTGTTATTGATAAAACACGTATAGTTGGGTTATTGTTGTGTTTTTTTAGTATATGCCGCACAATAAAAAACCCTTGGCCCCGATTTTTTACACCGCAAAATCTAAATGGGTTTCATTTTGGTATTAAAAACTTTTTTAAATTTTTTATGTCAATTTCGTGCTTATTTTTTTTAAAACTTATTAATATTTTTTTTAATTTTAAAGGTTGGTCAAGCAATAATGGGGGCGCGGGCAAAAATCAAATTTAAAAACGAGAAACCCTTGGGGAGACTTGGGGGGAAAAGCCATTTTTTCTTTTTTGGAAAAAGACGCAAAGGGTATTTTTTAAATTTACTCTAATTTAGAAACAAAAAATTTGTAAACTTTGGTTCCTTTAAACAGTTTAATTATTTCAAATTTGGGTTTTTGAGGGAAAACTGCTTTTTAAGTTCAAATCTATTCCCTTGCACTACTGCAATTTCGGAACATTAGGTTTTCAATAAAAACCTTTCGGCAAAATCCCAATTAAAAATTGTTTCAGATGTAAACATATAGGGTGTAATCTTTGATAATGTATAACCGTTGTATAACCGTTAACGAATGTATATATATATTTGGCGTCTAAAGGAAAATAAAGTCTATTTCGGTAAAATTATGATAGAACTCGTAATGAATTTAAAAATGCTCACTGATGTACACATATAACCGAGTCCAAATACATGTCAACATGTAAGCAATTTGTACTTTAATCAAATGCATATAAATAGCGTACTGTTTACTGTAAGTTTAGGACCTTTACTCGATGTATTGCTTCAACTACCAAGCATTAAAATATTATGAGTTTATATATCTAATTTTTGGGGAGGCTATGCCGACCCAATGTTAATAACTGTTCGTCAAATCTTACTGCCGCGGTAATCAGGTCAAAAAATAGTACCTTGATTTTTTCTAAGCTGACTCATCACTCATCACAGACATTTACAATATGAAACTATTTTCATTCTTTAATTTCATATCTGCAATTTGTAAAGATAAATTCTCTGAAAAATTCTTGATTTTTGTTTAAATCACTACTCCGTGACGTCATACTGCGCGGTAATCAGGTTTAGGCATACGTACGTCTGTAATAAATAGTTCTGGTATGGAAAACCCTTCAAAATAATAACTTTATCAATATTTTTTTCAACAAAAAGCATAAATGAAAATTTATAAGTAAATGCTTTAATTAAGTGGCAAATATTCTTTATTATTTTGATAACAATTTTCCAATTACTACGCAGCGACCAACTGTTTATGACGGGTCATTAACTAGAACGTTCCAACACCGTATTCTCCATTGTGTACACCGGTCTTACTGACGATATTTGAGACCGGTGTAATATACAATGCCGTATTCTCAATATCATGCATGTTCTTTTTTTGTTATAAACCATTAAAAGTCCTTAATATTTTTTAAAGACAAATATAATTGTTTAAACTGTCGCTTAAAACATCAGGAGACATGGATCATGCTTCGTTAAACTAAGGAAAACATAACTTATTAGTACACCCCGGGAGGCTGTACGCGGAAAACGGGTAAAAAAACCGCTATATCATATAAGCTTTAGTAAATATTTTGCATGCATTTAAACTAAAATTCACTGATTTTGGTGGATGAGCAGTATACATTGTAGTTTGAAACATTTATTCTTTTGACCATTATCGCCGAAAAAAAACTATTTAACTTACAAAACCCCTATTTAAAGGGGACCTTCCGACAAAATTCCAGGCACAATATACATTTTACTTGCAAAATAAAAAAAGCAATACTTTTATTTTCATTTTTACATAATTCATTAATCAAACTTTTTAATTTAAAAGTATATTTGGCAAATTGAACAGATCCCTACTCTGATCTTTTATTTGTATAGGATAAATTTAAAACATGTGCTCTTTGTTTAGGAATATTTGTAGTGAAAGTCTTATATATTCACTGATCTCATAATTAGAATTTAGACAGGTCAGGGATTTATTACAACCAGTTGTTTACTTAACTATGCTAATTTTAATCCCAATAGAAAACATCAAATATTTGGGGTAAAAAACATGACCAAAGTACCTATAGTCGTTTACCCCGAGTGGTGATCCCATTAAACTGATTATAGATTCGAATTGATTTAGAAAACACAAATAGAAACAATGTTTTCCGTACAACAAAAATCGGAAGTAAAAGTGAACAGTTAATTGACAGAAATATGTGGTCAAATATGTTTTTAACAAGAAATAATTATTTCAGGAGAAAGACGCAAAATCAGTTATGACCCCGTATTGTGTAATTAGAAAAGTTTATTATATTATTTATATATATATATTTATTCTAGGGCAGTACATCATAATTTGATAGTGCCATGTGTAATGAAAATTCAAATTTTCAACTAACAGATTGAGATACATAAAAAATATTAAAAAATAAGAAAGCTTTAACTAAAAAAAAAAAAAAAAAAAAAAAAAACCGCATAACATATACAAATTTTACTTACAGTTCGAGCATCGGGAAGTTCATAAACATATCTTACGAAACTTTAATTTGAAAACGATATTTTGCGCGCGCTTAAGTGAATTAATGTTTATGTTTGAAAAATAAAAAAAAGAACATTTATGTTTGTGTTTCTAAAAATAATTCGCGGGGCATAAGGAGGAAATTTTCTTATTCATTTTTACAACACTTGAAAAATTACTACAGAAAAATGTGTTGTTGTTTTTTTGTTTTTGTTTTAACAAAAATGTGAGTGTGTTTTAAGTTTATTTATACTCGGCGCCGGTTAACCCATTGCCCCGAGGTTTGGTAGGCTTTGGGGAAAACGGTTTTTTTAAGGTTTCTTCCGGAAGCCATTTTTTCGTGTTTTGGGGGAAAAAGGAGACGCCAATACCGTAAAGGGCCCCTTTTCCCAACTTTCTGGCCTGAGGGGGACAAAAAAAACGGCATCTATTAGCCCCAAACCTCCAGAGTAATTTACGCCCGGGTAAACCAATCCCCTTTGGTCCCTTTGATGTTTTTGCTAGGCCCTTCCCGTGTCCCTTTTCCCCGCACGTGCACCCCTTGGAAAAATTGGAGGGGTTTCAAACAAAAATTTCCCAAAACACGCCTTTTATAACACCTTAAACCCACTGAGGCTTGGGATATTTACTATTTGGGGGAAAAGGGTTTCCGACAGGGGAAAAACCCTCGTTAATAACCCAACCCTGTTAAACAAAGATTTTTCCGCAGTTTAATTTCAAGTAGGTTGAGGTTTAAAAATACACGGCTATCGTGTAACTACCATTTAAGTTGGTTGAGTTGTTGGGCGGTAAAAAAGAAGATATAACTTTCCTGGATCAATTTTCACTTAGGTTTGATTTTGTTTTGAATAAGTTTGCAGGTATGTATTTTTTCAAAGGAAATATTTGCTTTAAAATTATTATTCCGCGGGACGCCCGTCGTAATGAAAGGGGGATAAATTTTCTGAACCGTGTTTTTATTTCGGATTTGTTTTGGGAGGAGACAACCTTCTGGTCCGTAGAGATATGAATATTAAATTTTACTCTCAACAAGACCAGTGTATCTTGATTGATCTCAATTATTGGTACATTAAACGTGGTATAATTTTTAGGCTGGTTCACATAAAAATGTTGCATTCACTTGCAAGTTGTTAAATTGATTCATTCAATAATATTAAAATGACATAAATTGTGCTTATTTATGGGTGAACAGTCCTAGAATTTAATTTTTGACACAGGAACTTGAATTTCTATCAAATAACCAATATTAATTATAATTTATCCAAATATTACCCCTTGTTATAAAAAAAATTTTTAAGATTATAGGGGTATATTTTTGGGATATTATAATTATATTTGGTTTTTGATAGAATTTCAAGTTTTCCTGTGTTTGTGTTTTTTATGTATATAGGGGATTATTTGGTGATATTATAATTAATATTTGGTTATTTTGATAGAATTTCAAGTTTCCTGTGGATTTTGATTAAAGGAACCGTCGTTGTGTAAAATGTTATTTTTATCTGATAATGGGAACAGTCGTCATACTTTGCTGGTCGTATGTCATTTATTATTGAACAGTTTGGTTTTAAAAATTTTTTAAGGGTTTTAAAACATTTTCCGGGGAATGTGGGGCCTCAATGAAATGTTCGGGAAATTTAAACAAAAAAAATTATATTTAAACCCTTTTAACCATATATATGGGGGGTTTGGAACAAAACCCAGAAGGTAAAAAAGCGCAATGTGCATATCTTTTTTTTTTGGGTAGCTTATTTTTAAGAAAAAGAAGGACCCCTTTTTAAGTTTGAAAATTTTTCTTAGCCCCCCCAAATCAGTTTTTTTCAGGGTTTTTGATTAAATCCCGGGTCCCCCTTCTTTTGTTTTTCTTACTAATTTTTAAAGGGCCCCTTTTTCGAAGGGCCTGAGGGAAAATTTTTGGCAATATGCACGTGGTTTTCTTAAATTTTTTATTTACATGAAAAAATTTAAACGGGGTGAACTTTAGTGTTTCAAAAAGGATTTGAGCCGCGCCATGACAAAACCCCACAAAAGGGGGGTTTGGCGCCCAGCATAGATCCGGGACTTTTCTGATCAGGTTTCCATTTCTGTTCGCTACCCCAGTTTTTTCTACTTTAATGGGGGTTTGAAAAGCAAACAACTGGATCCTAAATCCCCACTGCGGGTTTGAAAAAGGTGGTCGGGGTTTCTATGTGGTCGAAATGCACCATGTTGGTTTTGGGTTGACGCGGGCTCATTTTTTTTATTTCTTTTTTGGATACGGGCTGGGGAAGGGGGGAAAACAGGCTTTTTTCAAAACGGGGGTCGGGGGTGCCGGCGGGTTTCCCGATTTTTTGTCCTTTTGGGTTTTTTTTTGATTGAATTTTGGGGGAAGGAGGGCTCCCGCTGGGGCCCCAGGGGGAAAATTTATGGGGGCCCCCTTTTGGTTTTTTAAAAAAATGAATTTGGCCAGTGGTAATTTTTCTGTTATTTCTGCTAGCTATCAGTTATTTGTTCCTTCCTTACAGTATATCTTATTGGCCTAGTTTATGTCTTTTATAATTACAGAAATTTACAAAATTTGAATTCGAAATTTATTTTTAAATTTTTTCGTTTTTTTTTAAGGGCGGTTACTTTATATGTATTATTTATTCAGGCGGTTTTTTCGGATCCCCTGAGGGTTGTTTTTTCAAGTTATCGGGACCTTTTTTAAATTTTTTTCACAAAAAAGGTTTTTGGGGTTTGGGAGACGTTTACATTTTTTTGCTACCCACAAAAAAAATTTAAAAAGCTGTAACTTGGGTTTCTTTGCCATGCTTTTTAAGGAAAATGAGGTAACGGGTTTCAAAAAGGGTTTCTAAAATGATGGGAGGGGTTGGAAAAGGGAAGGGATGGGAAAGGGTTCAATTCCCGGGTGGAGGAACGGAGTGTGGGTTACTTCATTAAACCAACTGTTTTTTCTAATTTTTTCCGGGGGATATGAGGGTTGGAGAGGGGGGATATTTTTAATTCTTTCCCGGGGTTTACCTGGGTTTAAAACTATTTTTTTGTCAAAATATGCTTTCCTTTTTAAAATTGGCCACATCGAAACAGTATAGGTAACAGCTCACCCCTTCGGTTTAAACATGAAGTTTTTTCCCTTGGGGGATGCCCTTTTTGCTTTTAAACTTAAAACCTATGTGTTATATTTTTACTCAGAAGATATGCTTCGTTGGGGCACTGTTTCTATAGGTTTTTATTTTCTAGATTTTGTCTGTGAAAAAGTACTGTTACTTTTGTATCAGTACAATTTTTAGTCACATGGTACACGTGAATTAACAATAAGAATTAAATATGAAAAACAAGATTATCAAAACCCGTTAACACATCAAATATAGTGAGGGGTAATAATATATAACCTGAATCAAGTTAAAGTAATAATAATAAAAACAGAAATCATTAATTCAAATTCATTTTGAACTTAACTCTCAATAAAAAAACATGTAATTTAAGACACAATATTTTAATAATGGAAGTAATAAAACTTTCAGATATTTGGTCCAGTACAATCGATTATGAAATTCAAGGACATGGAGGAGATTGTTGCACGTGCTAACGACACAAAATATGGTCTAGCAGGGGCGATATTCACCGAAGATATCGACACAGCTATGACATTTACTAGTAGGGTCAAGGCTGGAACAGTTTGGTACGTGTATTTCAAATATCTTCAGTTCATGGCATGACTCGACTTTATAATGTTAAACTCTTTCATGTGAGGAAGCTATCCGGCTAGATAACGGAAGCTCAGTTGATTCTTGTTCATTATAATTTGAACGAGTGTACATGTCAAAGGTCGTCATCAAAATATATACTAATTAATTCAATTTCTTCAATAAATGTTACCCAGTTAAATATGTAATAATAACTTGTTGCCGCAGTTTGCTTAACTTGCTTTATATGCTATACAACAGTGATTAATAACATGTATATAGTGCACTTTTAGTTGATAATACAAAGGTATTACCATATTAGCAGTACGTTAAAATAACACCTTAATTCATAGAGGTAAAAATTATCCGTATTGTTTTTCTTAAGGGTAAACTGCTACCTGCCTATGTCACCAGCAGCGCCGTTCGGTGGATTCAAGATGGTCCTGTTACTTGGACGTGAACTGTAAGTATCAGAATGTTATGAGGAATAACACTGTAGGAAACGCTGCTTTTTTTGTTGTTGTTGGTGTTGTTGGTTTGTTGTTGAAATAATTTTGTTTGAAATTCCGTCCTTTAAACAAAATCGTTTTATTGTTTATTTATGTTGGATAGAATGGTAAAAGCAGGTCAAAAGACACATGTCTTCACTTATGCTACTTTTTCAAATAACATAATCAGATTTGAAAAAAATAAAATTAATATTACCCAATAATACCTAGAATTACTCGTTCTTAACATTAGTCGTATGAAACAAGTGTTTTGTCCTTTTACAACAAATATCACCAAATTAATATATTAGATAATCATGCTTCTTTCTTATATTATATCTTTGTATAAAAAGGTTTGTAAAATAAGCAGTATAAGTGCTTAGAATATAACCTTTCTTTTCAGGGGAGAGTATTGTCTACAAGCATATACAGAAATCAAAACAGTGAGTTATTCAAATTACTTTCTTGACATTTAAGATAATTTCTTTTAAAATTTACTGAGGATTTGCCTTAATACTGAGAATTGTAAAATACATTGTAAAATACAATATATGTTAATTACTGAAAAACAAGGTTTTTTCCTTGTTTAAAATCCAATACACTTATACCTGTCAGGCTGTGATTGATATAGCTTTGTAAAACCTTTTTTTAAAAGGTTCGTTTTAATTTATATGCTTTCCGAATATTTGTTAAATTTACATGAAAATTAACTGTTGTGTTTTTATTGTTTATTTCTCGATTCAAATATCAAATTTTATCTTAAAAAATGTTTAAAAAAATGACACTTCAGTACACTTCAGTATTAAAATGACTTTATAAAATATTTATTTTTGTTGCAATTTGATAATTTCCTTTCGTGATACGTATCATATCCATTACGTATTTCACATGAGCAGGTGGTATTTTAACGAGTCACACATAAGTTTTCATTTTATAAACGTTTGTTTGTTAACTTCATTGCTGTGTATTTGTTTCGGTATTCTTGTTGCTGTTGCGTTACACTTGAATGTATTTGATAAACTGGTTTTTGGAAGGAAGTTATATGAAATTTGGTTGTCAAAAATATTACATTAAGTATCAACAAGTCTAATTTCTTAATCACACACACGAACGTGGGGACTTTATTAATGTTAGACATATTGATAACGCATTCAAACTTGGTGTTCGCACAATTTTATTATGCCCGTCATAAAATGGCTGGGACATAAAGTGTTATCCCGTTCCGTCATTCCGTCGCCATCGGTTTCCGTTCTTTATCTCGGTAAAGGTTTTCACATTCAGACTTATGTATATATCATGGGGAAAATGCAGGTTAAGTCCGAATTTGGTCATTGTCCGATGATTTTGACAGAGTTATGCCCCTTAATAAAATATTTCAGTTTCCGTTTATTATCTCCCCAACAGTTGTTCAGCTTATATTGATATATTGATACGTCAAAGGAATGCACAGGTCATATTCAAGTTTGATCATTTTGTTTATATTTTTTGGAAGAGTTATGCCCCCTTAAACTAAAAAAAGGAAATTTTCAGTTTCCGTTCATTATATCTTCAACAGTTGTACACATTCAACTCAAATTTAACATATGGATATGCCATAGAAATATGCAGGTCCAAGTTCGAATTTGATCATGGTTTGTTGAATTTGGACAGAGTTATGCCCCTTTAGTTTAAAAAAAAAAAGAAATGTTCAAACTCCATTCATTTCCTCCCCTACAAGTTTACACATTCAGCTCAGATTTAACGTATGGATACGCCATAGGAATGTGCAGGTCAAACTCGAATTTGTTATGGTTTGATGAATTTTTGACAGAGTATTATCCCTCTTAAACTTTGAAAAAAGTAAGAAATTTTCAGTTTCCATTCATTATCTCCCCAACAGCTGTACACATTCAACTCAAATTTAACACATGGATACACCAAAGAAATGTGAAAGTCAAGTTCGAATTTTGTCATGGTTTAATGATTTTTGGCAGAGTTATACCCCTTTAACTTTGAAAAAAGAGAAATATTAGTTTCCGCAACAGTTGTACATATTCAGCTCAGATTTAACGTATGGATACGTTATAGGAATGTGCAGGTCAAACTCGAATTTGGTATGGTTAAATGAATTTTTGACAGAGTTATACCCCTTTAACTTTGAAAAAAGAAGAAGAACGCTTTAGTTTCCGTTCATAATCTTCCCAACAGTTTTACACTTTCAACTCATATTTGACATATAGACATATCTTAGGAATAAGCAGGCCACAAGGTTCGATTAATTCGGACAAAGTTATCTCTCTCGAACATTTGAAAACTTTGAAATTTTAGTTTCCGCACTCTTGATTTTGTGGAAATGTATGTAGTCATTATCTCGGCTACAAATATGCAAAATGCTATTTGCAAAAGGTTAGCATTGAATAGTTTCATGGCCTTGAACAATGTATAAAAATTGTTTGTGTTAACAATGAATAAGTTAAGGACTTTGAACTGAGAACAAAAAAAAAATAGTTTGCGTAAACAAATTTGGGACTAAATGTTATTACATGAAATGTATAACATGTATAACATTTGAAATTTTGGCTGCATGCGGAGGCATCCGTGGCGTGACAATACATTTCTATTCTATACTTATTTACATACTTGATTAACGGCATTTTAATGTTTGCTTGTTTTTTAATATAAATTTTACTTTTGCTTGCATTTCAAAAACATTTTTGGTTGACATGCTTTCCTATTTAGACGCTATTTTATGGATTTCATTCGATATTTGTCATACACTGACTGCATCAAAACATGCCTTTTTATACAAAACTTTTTTGTTTGCTGGATTACTTTAATCATAAACATGTGTATATATACCTATACTAACATGAATATATGTGGAATCTTTTTTATATTTTAGGTCGTTATGAAGACGTCAGTAAAACTATAGAGATTAAACATTCAGAAGATCACAAAGTAACGTATATGGTTGACAGATTATCAAGTTGCAAATACATATTTAAATTTGTGATAAGTATTTGTGATTAGTACCAGAAATCATTCTATAGGGATAACATAAAAAATTTATAATCTTTCACCAACCCTTACCTGGGTGGAACCAAATATGATTTACATCCGTACACTCTGACCAGGCCCTATACTGTTCTTTAAATGAATAATCTTAAAGAAGTCCAAAACGGCTAAATTGACAATGTTCATGGACGGTACTACAAGTTATATTTCAATGGGCGGTTAAAATACAGAGCATTGCTAATCCTTCCAAAATACTCGACAAGTTAAGGGTAAGAGCTGGTAATTTGAACCAGATTTAGGACAGAACTCTTGAATGTTTAGATGTTAGAATAGCTTGTCAGCTGTAGCGTTTAGTATTGAATGTTCGTGTTATTATATTCAAAATGATAATCATTTGATCTGTCAAATTAAACAATACTTGTTTGTATATGTTGTATAAAAGAGCAATAAAGCTTTGTAGAAATTTAACTTATTTTGTTCCTCATGTTTTTTTTCATATTGTACATGCTCTGAAAAAAACTTATTTTTGACAGCAACTACTTTTGATGTAAAAACCAATACCTATGTATGAAAGATTGTTTTATCCTTAAAAATTACATAAAATAAAAATGCATCTCACATGATCTCAGAGGAGTTCCTTTAATATAACCTGCGATTTAAACAAAGATTTATTTCTTTACTAGTTCTGTCAAGTTTTTACAGCCATTACTTTAAACAGTCTTCGACTGAGGTATTTGCAAAAGCTAAAAGACACCTGTTTTGCTTCTTTTCAAATGAACTCACTGATGTATATATTTGTGGCAATAAGATATTTTAAAATCAAGCATCAGGTGTTTGTCCACACTCATTCTCGTCCGATATATAAAATCAGTGACATGTGAGGCTTAATTCTGGGCACAGCATACCCGGTATAGATATCGGCTTGCCATCACTATAAATACTACCATCAAAAGAACACGAAAACATATCATGATAGCGGTTGGACTTCTTCTGTAACTTTAAATTGTGCAATCACAAAGTACGAGTACATTCGTATTCAGGTAACTTCTGTTATATATTTTTGGGAGCTTCACTTACAAACTACAGATAAAAAATGTTTAATTAAGTTTTCAGATATGAAACTACATGTTCCCAGTAATCATAAATACAAGTAAAATATAATCAATCTTATCTTGCAATGGCTGACTTGAAATGGAGCAACATTAAAGTTTTAAAGAAGTATTTTCCTGACTACATATATTATTCGTGGTGACAGCAACATTTGGCTCGAAATAAAATTCAACTCATTTCGTAGCCTGTAGATATATAATGTACGTTAATTTCACTGGGAGCAGCAAGCTACAGGCACAGAGGTGATATGTGTATGTTTTTATTTATATCGTGCGCCCAACATAGTAGCTCGCGCACAAGACAGTTAAGCCATTCGCATGAGATACTATGTCGTGTTTGCCAGTTACTAAGTCATGCACACAAGACTATTAAGTCGTGCGCGGAAGTTACTATGCTGTGCGCTCGTATTACTATGTCGTGAGCACGTGTAACTATGTCGTGAGCAGGAGTTACTTTGTCGTGTATTACAGTGTAAAATAATTCGCGCAAGATTTTCTTTCTATGTCATGCGTTCGAGTTCTAGGTCGAGCGCACGGGTTCTATAAAGAGCGCACGAGATTATTAGTCGTGCGCACGAGTTACTATGTTGTGACCACGTGTTTCTATGTCGTGAGCACGAGTTACTATGTCGTGTATCACAGTTTTAAATAATTTATACTGTACCACCTTTCCTGAGCACCGTACGCTCCTATTGATACATTTATACATGTTGGACCGTATTTGGTACAAAAACGAATATGGTACAAATGTACCATATTCGGACCGAATATGGTACAATTTTCGACCGAATATGGTACAAACATTGTACCATATTCGGTTGGAATAAGTTTTTCTATGCTCGCCAAAACGTATTTGGTACATACCAAAAAAACTCATAAAATGAAAATGCCCTACGTATATGGTACATAAATTATGTATTTCTTAATAAATGAAATAGTCTGCCGATGTGTAAACTTTTTTTCAAACTCAAATACATTGTATTAACCTAATATTGGAAGTGACAAAAGTATCATCATCATCATCATCATCATCATCATCATCATCATCGTCGTCGTCGTCGTCGTCGTCGTCGTCGTCGTCGTAACTAGCAGTAACAGAAACAGCTAACCTAACCACACTTTACATGGATTTTGCTGGTTGTGTAACTGTTTCGCCGGCTAGCTCAGTCGGTTGCGCGTCAGATTGGCACGCAGGCGGCCTGGGTTCGATTCCCGGGCGGGCCAGATACTTTCGTGGAGATTGGTCACGAAATGATTTCTACGGCCATTCTTCCCCTACCGCTGTTTCAAGTAGGGCAGTTGTCAATTACTGGCGAATGTATCTGCTTAGTACTGGTTACTAAGTACTAGTACTCTAAGACTAGAGACGTGCTTGCTCCAGGTAACTCTGTAAAAGTTTGAGGATTATCGCATTTTGGTTATGTTCATAGAGTGTGAACTTGTAAGGGTAAAGGTAGGCGAGCAAATCCATGAAGCGCGCCAGCGCTTCTTGGAAAATTTGATCGTTTAATACCCCTCGGTATTAATGCTTATATTTTAATACATTTTAATAAAAATTGGTAGGTTTTGTCCAGATATGATTGCTTTAAGCAAACGTCGTTGCAGGAATGTCGACGTCGCATTCGATACAGACATTACAGGTGAAATATACATGTCGTCGCCCTAATTCCATAATGATGTAAGTCGTATTTTTACCATTTTGAGAAAATCGACTTCAAAGTTTTAACAGGCTATATCTTCACACTTACTCAACCAATTTTAATATAAAATACATCATAGTGTGCAGAATTATTTTAACTTTTACACTTTTAATTACGAAGAAGTTCCTGTAGATAGTTTTTTAAAAAATCAAAATAAAAGAAATGAAAAATCACTGAAAAATATATTTTATTGACAAAAATACAAAAACCAGAATGCTGTAATAAGTTACAGCAATGTGACCCTAAAATATCATTACATTTAGGAGTTACAACAGTGTAAAATAATGACTATTTTACTGTTTTATACTGAAATTATATTAAATTTAGACGTAACTAAAAATTGAATGCTTTAACGAATAGTCTGAATCCACATTTATTTAGGCACCACAGAGCATGTAATGTGATCAGGATCAAAACAGTAAATTTAGTCTTAAAAGTCAATAATAGAAATCCAGACAATGCGGTGAAGTGTGAATAGCCACGAACAGGCATTTTAAGGTTGAAATTGAACTCGGGCTTCATTATCTTATGACCATTTACATGAAATAGTGAGCCTTGCAAATGAACAAAAAAAAATATTACTGATTTTGTAAATGTATCACATTGAGTTAAACAAAACGAAATCAAAATTTAGAAACATCGTCATTGTATTGATATTTACCACATTAAATAGCAAAACTTTTATCATATGATATGCTATTTTCACATTAACACTGTACACTATAAAATATTTGGAATTCAGATTAACTTTTGGTTTCGTTTATTATATCATTAATTCATTCCAAATTCAATTTTGAATACCTGTTACTTGCATACAAACAGCATGTTAAAACACAATTTGACTTACAAAACACACAAAAATGTTTGAAAGATGTAACTGCTTCAACTTTGAAAAACAACATCAACAATGAGTTCCTTTCTCTGTCACATGAAAAAGAATAAACCTATGTATTTTACTTTTCTAAGAACAGCATTACTTAATGTTTTGTTTTAAAAAAAAAAGAAAAAAAATATGAAACACAACTCAAAGCTCACAAATTTTCAAAGATGCTACAGATCTGGATATGGTGTTTCAATGAACTACTGTACTTCAATTACTACATGTATTTATATATCAAGTGGCATACAACTTCTTTACATACAATAACAATTAAGTATACGTTTGCTTTTAATGTTTTTAACTGAACTGTTTACATCAATAACTCATTCGTATAAAAGCAATGCTCAATATCTAAGAGTTTCAGTCAAATATTAATTCTATTTTACTTCAACAAACCTTTGATGAAACAAATATGACAATTTAAAGATTCCTTAATGTTTTATATGGTCTTAAGACTTTGTAACATTTTTTAACAAAATCATTTTTTCTACGTTTCAATCGAATGACAATTTTTAACTAAGCATATTTTTTTTCTTTTTAAAAATAGTTTTGGTAATGGATAATTTTCAGTTCAAAGGTTCAAATCACTTGATAATTAATTACAGGTAGTATTACCATACGAGTTGGAAGTAGATGTACAAGAGTTATTTTTAACTTAGAAACTTAGATTAATTTTGCTTTGCATGTTCCAATTACATAAGAAATTTTAGCATAAAATTGAAAATGATTATGTTGACAAAAAGGTATAGACTGACACCCTGTTGATTTATGCAAAATAGCTGAGTAGGTCAACAGGGTGGCATTCTGTTTAATAAGTATTTGTTGTGCAAATGACGTCTCTTATTCAACGCTAAATGGTGCATCTGAGACAACTCGGTCAAAGCTTTTAAACTTTTGTTATAGGGATATTATCAACTTTAACCCACCATATAGTCTTTGACGTTTGGACGTACTGTTTTAAGAACACAAACGAGTGATGTAGGACTGAATACTTCTGCCATTTTAAAAATATTTTGTCTTTCTTTCTATATTGACAGTGGGTATTGTTAACCACTCTGGATTGCATAATGCCTTGGACAGCAAAACTTTTGAAATTTTTGTGATCGTTATATGAAAGTGCAGAATTTTGAAATTATGAAAATTATGAAATTATGAATTTTGAAATAAACATGATTAACCGAATTTAACATCAGTTATGAGTGGTAAAGTTATATGTGTAAATTTTATTCGAATCACTTAGCACCAGTACGGTAATTTGTCTTATATAGTTAAAGAAAACCATTGTACAAAATGTAACAATGGCAGTAGTATGTTTCTATTTGATGAGTTTTGTTTGTAAGTTAAAAGTATAAACACTCTTATGCAAAACCTGGTTGTCCGTATTTAATGGTAACATTGATCAATCAATCATATAATCAATCACATATCAAGTTATTAACAGCTTATACTTGAAAGTTTGTATCAATTTATCCGATTTCCATGCTATCCGAATTTCATAACACAGCATGGTGCTTTGAATTTAGCTCAAGGGTTAAGTGTAGTTATTATTTCTTTTTAAGGTTTGAAACAGTTCAATAAAATATTAATCTATAGATAATTAGATAACATCTAAAGCAAAACACTTACATGTTATCAAAAAATATAAAACGTAAAATGTCATTCCTGATACCTTGAAAAATCTGCCATTTTGTCAAAATAGCATCACGTGACTAGAATCTTAACAAACTATTGGTTCAGAAGTTACGATATTATGGACTGTATTTTTATCACAATTTTTGGACTTACAGCACTCTGACCCATTCAATATATTGTTACAGGCAAAAACCAGAGTGATGTTGTTCTTACCATTAGATAGAGAAAAAAATTACGAAAATTTTGATACCAAACACTCATTTTTTTCAAAATTGGAGTTACGACACTCTGGAATTAGGGCGACGATGTATATCGGTGTTTGGAAACCTGTTATGTTATTTTTGTGATTGATGATTATGTTCTTCTACCGGAAATTTGTTGTAATTTGCTCATTTAATGGTAACTTTTTACGAAGCACATTTGGGATATTTTGGCTGCTACTAAAATGAATGTATATATGTATATTATGTCTGGTCAAAATGCTACAGTTGGATTAAAATTTAAATGCTGTTCTATGTTCTTCAATATTACTTTGAAAAATCCTGTCAGTATACCAATAAATGAAAAAAGTACATGTTTGTTGAATCTCTTGAATGAAACAAATTATAAAATACAAAATGTAAAATGAATATGTGATGATGATGATGACAAAACATTTGTGATGATGATGATGGTAAAAAATTGTGATGATGATGGTGGTGATGATGATGATGACAGTGGTTATGATGATTGGGGTTTGATGATTGTGGTGATGATGATGATGATAATGATGATGATGATGATGATAACAAACGTTTTATGATGATGATGATGGCGATGTTTATTGGCCGATGATGATGGTTATAATGATGATGATAATATTTTAGATGATGATGACGGCGATGTTTATCGGCCGATGATGATGATGATGATGATGATGATAACAAACGTTTTATGATGATGATGATGGCGATGTTTATTGGCCGATGATGATATTCTCATCGTCGTCATCATCATCACAACATCCTCATTATCGACCGAAAACATCGCTGTCATTATCATCACAAAAAAAACTTTTGTGATCACCATTACGATCATGATAATGGATATGATGATGTTGGTTTTGATGGTGATGATGATGGTGGTGTTGGTGAAGATAACAACGATGATGATCATTGGGGTGTTGATAATTGATGTGATGATGATGATGATGATGATGATGATAACAAACGTATTTTGATGATTATGACAGCGATGTTTATCGGTCGATGATGATTATTATAATGATGATGATTATGATGACAAATGTGTTTTGATGATGCTGACGGCGATTTTTATCGGTAGATTATGATGATGATGATGTGCTGACCGTCGTTATCATCATTACAAAACTTTTGTCATCATCATCACCATCGACCGAAAAACATCGCAGTTATCATCATCACATTTTTGTGATCTTCATTACGATGATGATAATGGTGATGATGATGATGGTGTTGATGATGATGATGACCTTGATGATTGTGGTGATAATGATGGTGATGATGATGACAATGATGATAAAAGTTTGTGATGATGATGATGACGGTAATTTTGATCGTCGTCATCATCATCAAAACTTTTGTCATCATCATGACGATGATGATGATAATGGCGTTAATGGTGACGATGATGATGATGGTGTTAATGGTGACGATGATGATGTAATTGATGATGATGACAATGGTGATGATGATTGGGGTTTGATGATTGTGATGATGATAACTGCGATGTTTATCGGCCGATGATAATGATTATAATGATGATGATGAAAAAAGTTTTTTATTATGTTGACGCCAATGATTACCGGCCGCCGATGATGATGATTATGATGATGATGCTGATGATGATGATGATGATGATGACGATGATGATTATTTTCAGGATGGTATTGATGACGTTGATGCAAATTGTAGTTATGATGATGATGATGATGATGATGACGATGATGATGATGATGACGATGACGATGATGATGGTGATGATGAAAATGATGATGATGATGATGATGATGATGATGAGATGACGATGATGATTATTTTCATGATGGTATTGATGACGTTGATGCAAATTGTAGTTATGATGATGATGATGATGATGATGATGATGATGATGATGGTGATGATGATGGTGATGATGATGATGATGATGATGATGATGATGATGATGATGATGATGATAATGATAATGATGATGATGGTGATGATGATGAGATAACGATGATGATGATGATGATGATGACGATGATGAGTGTGTACCATATTCGGAACGAATGTGGTACATTTTTCATCCGAATATGGTACAAGTTTGTACCATATTTGGTCAGGCATTTTACCCCAAAACTGCAGATACGTATATGGTACAATTAGACAGTTGTACCATATTCGGCCGAATATGGTACAAATTTGTACCATATTCGTTTTTGTACCAAATACGGTCCGACATATACATGTAAAGTGAAATCTGATTGGTAATTATGTTGTTCACACACAACATAATAACTTGTGCGCACGACTTAAATATGTCGTGCTTTCGGGATGATTAAAAAACACACATGTCACTTCTGTGCCACCATAGCAAACAAATCTAACTGCTTGAAAATTTAAGATATATTTCAAGTTTCCTAATATGACGTAGTGCAGTGCCAAATTTAATAACAATACTGGATGTAATACCTTAAAATATGCAGTTACTCTCAAGAATACACGGTGTTTATACTTTTAATGATAACATATTGGACCACGTGATAGTTTGATATATAGCATGTTCACTACATAATCTAGTACACTCACTGTATTGCCCCATTTGTACAGTCATGGCTCAGATACCAACAGCTATAAGGGAACCGGAGATTAAGTTCACTCAGGTTCGACTCTTTTATCTATCATTAAATTACATTTTGCAATGAGCAGACATTTTATTTTATATCAATGTTTTTATTTTATATAAGAATATTATGTTGTGTTCGTTTTTATTTTATCTCTTCGGTTTTATGCACTTATTTTTTACATATTAATGGTATGATTATTATTTCCTTTATTCCATTCTATATTCCTTTGTGTTATATACATTTTAAAATATCTTGGTGTATTTATGGTTGTGGAATTATGTAAATAAAAAGAAGTTAACCAAAGATATTGTGGCAAGTGAAAACGATGATATTTTGCATTTGATGTCCAGTGACAATATACTTAAGATGTAAAAAAATACAAGTACATTCAGGTGCTAGCATAGATCAATGACATATTTCAAGGTCGTAACAAGCAGGGTCTCAAGCAAATGTTGTAAAATATTTGACCGCACTTTGATAAGGTGTATGGATATGTTTATATCAATAACCTATGCTTCAAAACGTAAACATGTTAATAAATAATAAGCATTTATTTACTTCATTTTGGGACCGAAGTTTTATACATGCGTTTTTGTGGAATGATAAAAACGAACTATATAAATCAAACTGATAGTGAAAAAAACGTTTAAAATTTGTTCTACAGCTATTCATCAACAATGAATGGGTGAACTCAGTCAGTGGAAAGACTTTCCCGACACTTAACCCCACAAACGGCAAGACAATCTGTGATGTCCAAGAAGGCGACAAGGTTAGTGAGACATGTTAGAAGATAAGGTAGTCAAATATTCATTTAAAAAAACGTTTATTTATAGTCGGGCGTATTCATTTCTTTAGAATTTTGACGCTCTTAGACGTGGGAATTAGCAAAATAAACCGGATTCTCGCTGTCTTATCATGGATGTAGGACCTTAATAATCAAATCCCGACATGCTTACTGCAACATATTGCAACATTTGTGCAGCGATTGGTGTTTTATATGAGGGTAGACTCATCAGTAAATGTGCAACTGAACATTTAAAATGTGCATCTCACCTTACATCAAGCGTGGTAAATTGTCAAATGAGATGTCCTTGAAAAGCAACGCTTTTAAATATGTTTAGGCATGTTTATACGGCACTTTTGATATCCTCTATCATAAACAAGGACGCGCGGTTAAAATCTAGAATGGGGTTATTTTATCTAAAACCAAGGTCAATATCCTTATAAAAGTACTATTTCAATTCAATCTAAAAACTTATGTTGAAAAAAGAGACATTAATCACCGTGCAAACTCGGTTAATAAAATATTATCCTAAGTGCTGTTTTAAGTGTAAGCTTTATTCACAACGCCGTTTATTATACTGCATGACGCCATAAATTATTAGCTGTACAGATTTTTGACAGGTTATATGGCCCTATATAAACGGCTGTTTTGGAAATATAACCCGAGTTATACATTGAAGTTCCTGTCAGGAATATTTATAACGAATTTATAATACCGCAAACTTCCTTTCTTTTCTTTCTTTTTTAAAGTGAGATTTGCATGGGATTTCTTTAACAAAATGCGATTTATACGACTACTAGTGTACCTACAAATTAAACGCCGACTTCGACTTATACGACTACATGTGTACCTGGTGATGATTTTGATTATCACCATTTTCTGGTGAAAATCAATACTGAATCAAATCTGAAAAACGATTGGAAAAAAAAACAGTTATAATAATTATGATAATAATTTTCATTTTGCCACAAGGCGTGAGTCAAGCACGTCATACGTTGTCAAACAACGTATACAGCTCACGCGTAAGTTATACACGTCGTAAGCTGTATACGGTAAAACAAACATGTATACGGTGTACAACAAAGCTGTATACGGTACAACAATCCTGTTTACGGTACAACAAAGCTGTAAGCGGTACAACAGTATCAAACTATACAAGTTTGTGTGACGGACCGGTTCACTCATACCAGTAGTTGAATTTAATAAATCCCACAGTATAAACGCTTATCATGTGTGTAGGGAAAATTTCTTTCTAGATTACGTTTGTAGTTACACTTTTTGTGCATTTTAGCAGGATTTTGGGATTTTATACTGTATAAGAAAATCAAATTGAATTTGCAATTATAAAATATCATCCTACCTATCAGCTTCAATATTAAATTGAAAACAAAGTACTACTGTGTATAAAGGTGACAATAAGGTCACTTCTTTAAAATGTGCAAAAATACAATTCTTTCAAGCAATTAACATCAATGTATAAATTGTCATAGTAGTAACTATTATAAAGAGTTATCACATGTTTTCATTTAATGGACAATGTTGATTTACAGGCAGATGTCGATCTAGCGGTCGCTGCAGCGAAGAAAGCTTTTGAATTTGGATCGCCATGGCAGAAGATGGACGCTAGTAAAAGAGGAGCTTTGTTGCACAAGGTTGCTGATCTTGTTGAGAGAGACAGACTATATCTTGCTGTATGTCGCAATTATTTCATACATAAGAGTGACATTTTCATTGTTTTTTAAAACCTGAACGAAATGTTAATTGGCATACAATTCATGAAAATGACGCAGACGAATTGTCATCAGTCAAGAGTCACTTGAAAAATATGCTGCACATTTTCGATATTGAAGCCCGTAGACATAATGGTATCTGATAGATTGATTTTAATATATCAGCAATGAATCCTTGAATCATTTATATATAATAACAGACAATAAAGCGTCTGCATATACTTCAACCAATTTTCTTACTAGCGTGACCCTAAAAGAGTAAAGATTTGGGGGAAAACGTTTAAAGGGCACTTGTTGTTCTGTAATATTTCTATTATTTATTTTGTTTTCTTTTTTATGAAGAGTCTCGAAACGCTAGACTGTGGCAAGTCTTTCAAAGATGCATATGGTGAAATGGCTGCAGTATCAAATTTTTTACGATACTTTGCTGGATGGACAGATAAAATACAAGGAAAAACTATACCAATAGGTAGGTTCATAATGATAATAATTTTTTGTTCCTCAAACTTTGGTGATATCATAATGAGAATAAAACTATGCATATCATATTTAAAATAAAAATGACAACAACATATTTATATTTCCGCTAGAGATTTTCAGTCATTTTCAGCTTAACTATACATGTTATATGTAACCAATTCATTGAAACCGTCACTCTACATGTATATGACCATTCGCTGACGTCTTTAGCATTTCTGATTCCGACAAAACAAAAAACGGAGGATTTTACTCTGAAATACATTTAGTGATTAAAAAGCACTATGGGACATTTGCTGTAAATGAAATATGTAATGCTAAAGATTAACCTTCACAATTTTCAGATGGCGCGTTCTTCTGTTACACAAGACATGAGCCTGTAGGTGTCTGTGGATCAATCATTCCAGTGAGAAGTTTTCTCTTTATTAGAGTCTGCTCAATAATTTTTTGAAATGATTCGTTCTTATACATGTTACTCTTAATCTACAAGTGGTCCTAATTCACGTTCTTCTTATCCATGTTGCTCTATTTCATGATGGTTTTATGTTTGGTATGTTATATATAAGAAATTTATTCATTTCCACATTTCGTTAATGATTTGTTTTATAATCCGGACAAGAGAGGTTAAAGAATGTTTTAACTGTTAACCAAACTTTGCTTATTTGTTTATTTATTAGGCATACAGTAATTGTTTTGTTTTTTTCAGTGGAACTTCCCGCTAGTATTGTTCGCATTGAAATTAGCTCCGGCACTGGCATGTGGAAACACTGTTGTTTTGAAACCAGCAGAGCAGACGCCACTGACAGCTCTGTATGCAGCTACCCTCTTTAAGGAGGTTTGAACAGTTTCTTAACAGTCTTATATTTGTACAACGTGATAATCGGTTTATTATTGCTTACTTATTTACAGCTCATTAGTAGGTGAACGCTGGAGTATGAGTATTTCTATAAATATACATAAATGAGTTAATAAGCGATCACTCGCAACGGTGATATTCGTTCAAACAAAGCAGCACACCGAGCAAGTGATATTCACCAAATAGAACATCAAATAGAACATTTATCATTTAAAGATGATATGGTTATAATGTATTGCCTACAAAAGAACATTATTAATATACATGAGTGGGTAAATATCATCATTTTTATTTGTCGATAAAGTTTTAGAAGCGATTTATGTTCGGTTTAAGTCAATGTTGACGTTTACATGTGTCTCAAGTTATATATAAAAGATATCGAAATAATATGACATGCTGTTGAAGAAAAGTATAATTCTATTGAGTTATAAGTGGTGTGATATGCAGGATGTGACATATACTTTATATTACATTGATATGACCTATTTGTTTGTTACTCTAGGCTGGATTTCCTGCAGGTGTTGTGAATATAGTGCCTGGTTATGGACCAACAGCTGGTGCTGCCATCTCCTCACATCCTGATGTTAACAAAATATCATTCACTGGATCAACTGATGTATGTTTACCTCATATTGTGATTATATTTCATCCAATTGGTTTTAACAAAAATGTCCAACGAATCTCGAATATGATTTAAAATAATGGTGATTTATTCTGATAAAGAAATATAAGCATAATTATTTTAAAGCCTTGGTCTAGTAATAAATATGTCTGCCTCTTGTCTTGGGCCAAGTTGGGGATAGTTTGTTTAAGACCCACTGCAATAACAGTTATGTACCCGTATATAAATGAAATTGTACCCGTATATAAATGAAATTGTACCCGAATATAAATGATATTGTACCCGTATATAAATGATATTGTACCCGTATATAAATGATATTGTACCCGAATATAAATGATATTGTACCCGTATATAAATGAAATTGTACCCGTATATAAATGAAATTGTACCCGTATATAAATGAAATTGTACCCGAATATAAATGATATTGTACCCGTATATAAATGAAATTGTACCCGTATATAAATGAAATTGTACCCGAATATAAATGATATTGTACCCGAATATAAATGATATTGTACCCGTATATAAATGATATTGTACCCGTATATAAATGAAATTGTACCCGTATAACAATGAAATTGTACCCGTATATAAATGATATTGTACCCGTATATAAATGAAATTGTACCCGAATATAAATGATATTGTACCCGAATATACATGAAATTTGACCCGTATATAAATGAAATTTGACCCATATATAAAGAAATATTTAATGAGTAACAGAATGTAATTCTTAAAATTGTTCAAGAAATAACACTTAGATGAAAAATTTGGAGAGTTTGTCGATAATTAGGTATTTTATGAAATCAACAAATTCAGCGAGACTTAAATTTGTGCCTTTTTGAAAGTTAGTAAGTAGAATAAGAACAGTTTTCTTGAACAAAATAGATCTACAAAATTACATTGCTTACAGTGTTATATCATACAAATAAAAATTGTATCTAAAATAGCATGTTATTTTCAAAGGTTGGTCAAACAATAATGGCAGCTGCAGCTAGATCAAACTTGAAACGAGTGACACTGGAACTTGGAGGAAAAAGTCCGCTGGTTGTCTGGAAAGACGCAAATAGTAAATGTCATTTGTTTAATGGTTACTAGTATGTCCTTGTACCAGTTGTCACTTTAAATAAATGCAAGCAGTCACGTATATATGTTCTATATTATAACTTATCTATAAGTAATTTGCATTTATGTAAAACATATATTAAACAAACATAACACTAGCTATTCATATTAGAACAACATGCGACTTAGTTTGCAGGGCGGCAACTCAACAATACATACAGGCCTACTGTCGATATGAATTGTAAAACTTATCTCCATTATTTACAATATTAGCTAAATTTATTTTTGATAGGTTATTTGGCACTTTACAAATGGATGATTTTATAATAAATGTTTATATATGGCCTAATAACATGTCAAAATCTTTTTGACTGATTTATAATACTGCAAACTTTCTTTATAAGAAAAAAAATGAAAAATGAAGTGGAATGCATACACAGTACATATAACAAAGCATACAATACAATCAAATGGTCAATGTCACACTTTATAAAACATATATCATTAAGTTACACAGTATTATTAGCAATCAGAAAACGTAAACTATAGATAGAATATACTATCAACATGTCTCAATTCATATACTGGTAAATAAATACTAGGGAAAGATACCATCTTATTAATAAGGAAGTAAATCACAAAACAAAACGAAAATAAGTGTATGTAAGATACAGTGATACAGCGTTTGGGACAAACTTTTGATTAACTATAAAGAATAGTGTTTCGAACATCGAAAGCTTGAAATATATACATTGATAAGTTACTAATTTCTATTTCATTTTCTGAATTCATCAATGTAACAAATTTAGGTATATTTGGTCTTTTCCAAAAGTGTTTTTTATATATATTTTTTCGTAATTCATTATATAGAGAACATTCTAAAATAAAGTGAAATTCATCTTCCAAAATAAAACAATTTTTACATTTCCTATCATCAAAAGGTATAGCACTAGGTTTATTTCACCTGCCGGTTTCAATCTCGAGTCTATGTGAAGAAACTCTTAGCCGGGACAGAGCAATTCTAAATGATAATTTAATAGTTTTAAAATTTATACATTGCAACAACAATATTTTGTTTCAGTTGATACGGTGGTAGAATGGGCACATCAGGCTATTTTCTTTAACTGTGGACAAGTCTGTACAGCTGGATCTAGGACATATGTACACGAAGATCTCTATGACGAATTCGTCAAAAAGGCTGTTGCTCGTGCCAAGGCTAAAACTATTGGCGACCCTTTTGACACTAAAAGTGAATATGGTCCACAGGTAAATAAATACAATGTTTAACTTAAAAGAAAAAAATAAAGTTATCCTTTCGCTTATCCAGAGTTAAAGTTTCAAAAGCAAACATATCACGCAGGAATTGCATTATTATATACTAAAAGTACTTGAAGAAAAAAAAAGAATTTTGTTCAAGCAAACCTTATCATAGAATTGGAATATTTTTTTTTAAAAATCTACAATCAACCATTAAATTTGTGTCAAAATAAAGTAATACGAATAAAGCTCGTATGGAAACGTGTTTCTTTTTGTGCTTTGAAAATTACCTTTTTGTGAAATTGTAGGTGTGTGAAGAACAGTTTAATAAAGTATTAGAGCTGATAGAAAGTGGTAAAACTGAAGGTGCTACATTAGAGACTGGTGGTCAGAGACATGGTACTGATGGTTACTTTGTACAACCAACTGTCTTCTCAAACGTCACCGAGAAAATGAGAATTGGGAGAGAGGAGGTATGTTTTATATATTGTACACTTACAAACTTTTGGTAGATCTATTTTGATAGATATGTTTATTCAATTTCATATATTAATAATTAAAAGACGTATCAATTTTAGAAGGTTTGAGCATTAAAATGTAAATTGTCTGTTGCGGTGTGTTGTTGTTTTCCTATGATATTCGTAACAGCGGAAGTACGAAAATGCAGAAAACAACACTGTAAAGTTGATACATATTTAAGGTACTTATATTCTTTAAACTTTCACGTTGCCTCATGTCTCAAACTAGCCATCAACACCTATTGGAATGAACTATCTTGTCACGGTTGCTCAAGCATTGGTTAGTGATAATCAACAGATAAAGCTGGTTAAAGCGAATAAAATGCGTTGTCACAAGTCCTATTCAACTGTTTTAAGCCTGAGAAAACGGAATCTCTAAAGAACGCCCAAAATTTTCTTAACGAATGATTACACATCATAATAAACAGAAAAATAAAAACGTTTTTGATACTTAATGTTATTTACACAGATGAGTGTCAATTTTCTGAACTACATGTAGCAGTTTGTCTATGAAATGCATATGATTTAAATAAATCAAATCGAACGATAATGACTGTGGAACTCCATTCCTAACTCTGACACGTCTTTGCTGTTGCTGAAACAAACAAAAATCAGCTGTCTTGTTTTTCTTTTTCCACTGATTATGTATCAACAGGACTTTCCAACTTTTGAGCAAGTAAACAGTAGTTATATGATAAAATTATAATATCTACTACGAAGGTATCACTCCACAGAATTCTCATTTTTCTCTCTAAAAAGAGAGTTTACTGTATTTTAAATTCGTTATAAAGATGCCTGACAGGTCATATGCCCGTATATAAACGGTTATTTGCCTAGTGGCTCGGAGTAATCGTTTATAGAACATGTCCAAAATCTTTATATCTAATATTGTATGGATTTTCTGAAATTTCAGATATTTGGTCCTGTGCAATCAATTATGAAATTTAAAGACATGGAAGAGATCATAGCACGTGCAAACGACACAAAATATGGCCTAGCGGCAGCGATATTCACTGAAGATATTGACACGGCCTTGACATTTACTAGTAGGGTCAAGGCCGGCACAGTTTGGTACGTAAATTATTTTCGATATAAAAGTGTGCACTAAAAAACATATTATCTCCTAAAATGTAAAAATGAGTGAAAGTGATGTGAATATTTTGTTTTTAAGATTTTAGTTTTGATGGACAAATGTCTCTTAAGTGATGAACAATGCCCACCAATTGTATGTGTGAATTTAACATATACATGATATATGACATAGTCTACAGAGGTCACATATTTTTAATTACGAATACACTCATTTTTTCTTATATATACCATGAATACAACACCCCTTTTATATTTACCGTAGATAGACCAATTATGTTTCATAGATATACTATGAATACATGTTTTTTCTTATGTCTTATATAACCCACGGATACACTCATTATTTTCTTATATATACCACAGATACACCAATTACTAGTTTGTTTCATAGATATACAACGAATACATCCATTATATTTCTTACATTTATCACGGTTACATCGCAGTTCTTTTATTCTTGGTTAAACCACGATTAAACATATAATATTTTTGGTATACCACGGATACATCTATTTTATTTTTTACATATACCACACTTTTCAGTCATTCTTCGTGACCGTTTCTTATTATCTTATACTTCATTCACTTTGGTACTGCTTTCATCATAATACAGACAATCTAACAGAAACAATATGGCTGTACTGTATATACTTAAAGTAACTTTTAATTGGGGTTCTTTTTAGGGTGAATTGTTACTTTAAAACGGGTCCAGGTGCACCGTTTGGAGGATTCGGAATGTCTGGTATTGGCAGAGAATGGTGAGATTTTTATTTTATTTTCTCCTTATGACATTCACACAGACTATTTATTACAACTTCAGTTATTTTCGCAAAATAAAGTCACAGTCGATTTAAGGTATTTGAATTTAAACATGTGCTTTGATGCCCAATCCATTGAGCTACCGTTGTACCACAGTTTATGTTGTAAAATGATGGGTTGGTAAGCTTATAGGAACTCCACTGGGGCCCAAAAGCTTTAAAAAATCTTTCTTCCATAGAACCCCTGCGGCACTTAAAACAGACAGATATGCAAAAGATAATTAAGTAATATACCCAAAAGTAGATCGTATTTGATGCTCTCTTAGTCCGATTTGAGAGAAAAGCCATGCAACGCTTTTTCAAGTTTTTCACAATTAAAATAATTATTCTGGAAAAATGGAGAAGCCAATAAACTGAATTATTGCACATAAGTGATTGGTCTATACCTATATCAAATGGAAAATTAATCTCAAATAATTATTTCCAATCCCGTCATGTCAGTAGCGTCCCTTTAATGAGATGGCAAAGACAGCCAGAAATACCCGAAAATTTCATTGAATTATATCTACAACAATAATTACTGACATCATAACTTTTAAGGTTAATAAACAAATTAATACAAAATGATTTCCTTCCAGTGGAGAGTATGGACTACAGGCGTACACAGAGGTTAAAAATGTAAGTCAGTTTTACATATTATTATAAATATTCAAAATACGAGCAGGCGTACAAGAAATCATGTGGATACCCTCATGACAAAACTCACTCTGCTTTCTGACTGAACTTAAGCCGGCTGTACTGGGGACAGCGGAATGGAATTAAGCATGAAGGGGAAAACTGTGTTCAAGCTGTTGCATATGCGGCGAGCGAGCGAGCGGGTTTGTTAGGGTGGGCGGGTTTTTGGTTGGGTGAGTCAGTCGTTAGTAAATGAGTCAGTAAGTGTGTTCATAGAATGAGAAAGGGGAGTCGGTCTGTCAGTCAGTGAATTAAACAGATAGTCACTATTGAAACAGGGAGATTTGTTTTTCTTTCGTAAAATTTCGGCATAACATTTATTTGTAAATTGCAATGAAAACTGTTTAAAATTCTTTTCATTCTTCTCGGTTATTTCAGGTGGTCATGAAGACGTCGGTAAAACTTTAGGTCAGCTGCAAAAAAAACATTTCAACAGTCAAAATCATAGACCATGATGTTATAAATGTGTGTAATATTTTCAGAGAAATAACGTGTATATTAAGTTGTTTTAATGGGAAACTGTTGATAATATACACTTGATACCAAAACCACAAACACCATGTTCAACAATAAACGATGCTTTATGATACACCATACTCCAGGATATATGTGCATATCTTTGTTGATTCAAAAGAAAAAAAAATGTACAAAAACCCTATTAAAGTGACAGGCTCAAATTCCTGTGTTGTTGTTGCTATTGTTTTGATAAATATTGTTTAAAAAAAGATTTATATCATAAGTTTATTAGTTCAGAGGCTCAGCTTCCGATGAAATAAAGTGTTATATTTTGTATTGTTTTTGAAACAATGCGAAGACCTTCATTCTATTTCGGTGTTGTTGTTTATTCTGTCCCAGACTTAATGTCTTATATTATAACTCGTATTATGATATAAATGATTTATTTTCGTTTAAGCGAAGCGAATTAAAAAATAATACAGTTATTTTATTGTGATCAATGCTTCCGAGGGATCTCCCGTTTTAGATTTTTTTCTGAAGTCCTGTTGAGTAATAATTTTAATTTTATTTCTCCTTATTAGACTTTAAAAAAAACCTTATTAAATGCTACAACTCCTTAGACTCCTATTTCGGAATTATAACGAAGTCAACTTTTATCATTCCTTTAAAGTCCTTTAAATTCCTTTTACGAGTTCTATACATGAAAAGAACATTAGATTCGGCAGCAAAACGCTTCCATACCAAAACACTTCTAGAAACGGTGTCATTTTGTTTTGAAAGTTTTTGACCGTGCGACCACATACACGCATCAAGGACATGTTGGAAGGAAAGTGACCGTGCGACCATATAAAAGCATCACATGATTCCCTTCTCAAACGAGAAAGGGACAAAGAACTGCCCGCCCTTTTGTAAAAGGGCATTAAAATAGGCCATTTCCTTATTGGTAATGCCATTTACTTATTGTAATTAATAAGGAGACTAATTTTCATGTATATGTCTTGAATTGGTATATATACAACTGTAGTAATGCAAACCAAGCGGATTTCAGTTTTTTCTTTCTTTTTAAGTTTAGTACAGTTTTGATAATTAAACCGGAATGAACCATTGTTTGTAGTGTTAAGTCACATGAATTAATGATATTTTTTATTTCCTTGTACCGATTTGTTCACTTCGATGTTAATTTTTCGTTTAAGTTAAGCCGTATTTTGAAATGGAGAATGCGCGTAACAATGTTTTAGCCTAGTTCTGATGATTTACGGCTTGAATGCGATGGATTAGCTTCAATTTGATACGCAAAAATGGATGCCGCCAGCAATCATTCTCAACACTGTGGAGACCTCTCCTCCAATGAAAGACCTATGTCTATCAACTGACCTATGATTGAAAAGGCATACTTACACAGAAAATTGAATGTTTCCATGTTAATTTCTTTATGTTGTCTCGTAGTTGCTTGTCAATTTTAGAAGCACCTATCGCATTAATATCTTTTCTGTCATGAGAAAATATTACAAATAAAAGTTAAAAGTATCAATTGTTGATTAAGGCACAATACGAATAAAGAGTTTAATAAACGAGTGAACGGATTTTCTGTCAGAATATTACCCACTTTCAGGGCGTTTCTGCCAATTCATTGGCAGTCTCGAAAATACATTTCTCCCTTCAACGTCAGCATTTTCACGCCTGAAACATTCTCAAGGAAAGACAAATTGGGGATATTGCATTAGTGACCAAAGTGATGATTGTTTATGTGTGCAACACGAAATCCCTTTCTTTATTTTAAAACGGAGATATCTTGAACAAAAACAACCATTTTCACAACATTTTCCAAGGCTGTCCTTTTTAATCCACTAAAATATTTTATGAAGTCGGAGAAATCCATGGACAGTAAGTCTATAGCAATAAAATTGGCCTTATTTGCGTAATATAAACAGACCAACCAAGTTTTCAACATACCTGAATTAATCATTAAATTTTTAATTTCTGTCAACATTGCAGCAATCGGTCATCACTGACACACTTCTATATATTTTATTCATAAATGACTTAATAAAAGTGGTTAATAAAATGCGTAATTCATTCCGTCGACATAGACGAAGCAGTAAATACATACATTTTTGGTATTCTCAACCAGATGATTCAATGCCTTCGACGCTTATGATTATTTATCAAATGTTTGTTGTTTCACCAAAAACTTTATATGGATGCGAGCTTTTGGATACCGTCCAGGCACAGTATACAGCGAACAGTGAATATAAGTTATGATATATATCTAATGGAGTCGTAAGTGTTTTGTTTTCATGTAATAAAATGCATATAGTGCGGGCATGCGTTTTCATTGTCCTTAAGTATACATACATATATATATATATATATATATATATATATATATATATATATATATATATTGCAAGCTGTATAACTATGTATTAATGTAGGGGATCGACTGAATCAAAACTAAATTAAGGTTGTTCATCTTTTAACCTCTGAGTATTAAGAATCTAATATTTGATCGGTTATGCTCTATTTTATTCAAGATAAAGTAAGTCCGTGTTATCAGTCAAGTTCGTCTTTGTATATAGGAACGGACTTAAACTGTTGACAAAAGTCAACCTTAAGTAGTGTCAATGTAAAGACGTCCTTGTTTTTAAGAAAAAGAAATCACCATGGCACAGCTTCCACCTCCACCACCAGCTATAAAAAATCCGGAAATAAAATATACACAGGTTCGAACATTTTTATTGACGTTTACAGTCTCTTCAATGTTTCATTCATTATTTCCAAACAGTAATTGCTTATAATAGTGGAATTAATAATTTCTAAAATTTCATTGGATATTGTGATCAGTTGTGTACTGTTTGATGAGATATTTGCAGAATTTTTTATTTTATGAAAATTAAAGAATAAACTTTTTTTGGAATCTAATTTTAACAAATTGCATAGTATGACCTATATAAATTGTTTCATGCAGCTATGCATATTTTCGTCGTTTTTTCTTCTTCCCCATTTACTAAACACCTGCAAATTACTTGACATTTCAGAATCAAAATTACTTTTTCGTGTACCAATTTTCATTTCGCCTACTTTTAATTTTATATGTCAATTGCAAATTTCAAACAATAATCGAAATAACGCTTAAATAAAAATGTATGTTATTAAAAAAGATATATGAATTAACCCTTTACCACATATATACGCGAAACAAAGCACTTTCGACCCCCCCCCCCTTATTTAGGCCACAAATAGTGAAAAAATGTCCTATTTGGGCCCAAAACATAAGTTTTCGTTTGAGAAATGTTGCTTAAAAAATTGAGCACTTTTTCGGCGCCGCCCCCCATCCAAAAGATACATCAGTGGGTTGCCAGAAGGGGGGTGTGCCCCCTTCTGTTAGGGGGGTTTGAAGGGGGGGCGGAGTCCCCCTCATCGCCAAGAAAATTTTGGACTTGTAAGAGGCTAAAAATGACCCCAGGTCGATCATAATGTAACGTTTAACCAGCGCTGAAAAGCCCTTGACTCTATCTCAATCCCTTGAGCAGTTGCAGCACTTTGAAATAAATTTTGATGGAAAAAATCGAGGCAAAATGGTGATTTTTGGCAATTTTGAGATGTCCCCTCGTCGCCATGGTAACAGGAAATTTAAGACTGAGCATGTCGTTACAAAGGCAATGGTCCAGTCAATATTTTTGCCAAATTTGATTAGTATTGAAGCATTTTTCATAGTTTCATAGCAGTTTGAACTTGTAACGGGAGGCTTTTCAGTGAAAACGGCCATTTTTCACAATATGCTCATGGGGGAAAGGGTTAAAAGATAACCTTTTGGATATTATACCAGATCCTCCACTTATCAATGCTAAGACTATCAGAGTTCCGTCAAATCAGAGCACGCACCTCAATCTTCCAAAATAGTTTCTTTCCCGCAACCATCGTGCTTTGAAACAAGCTGCCGCAAGACGTTGTTGACCAGACCAGCCTGGATATTTTCCAATCAGCTCTGGCCAGCCAACATATAAAATACTAGTCACGGAGTTGTTCTTACTCTTTTAATAGAAACTGTATATAATGGTGAATAAAATCTTGATTCCTATTGAAACTGAAATTGCAAAACACAAATTGATATTCTGTGTAGACTAACTGATATATTGCAAAACAGAAGAATAATGTACTAGAACGGGGTTAAACAAGTGATTGGATGTATTCCCGAGATATAAAAAGTTATTATTATGATGTGAAAATACAGTATATTTGAAATGGAAACATAGCTAATATTGGTAATATTGGTTATATTGGATCCGACATGAAATGGAAACATAGCTAATATTAATTATATTGAATCCGACATGAAATGGCAACATTGCTAATATTTGTTATATTGGTTATATTGGATCCGACATGAAATGGAAACATAGCTAATATTGATTATATTGGATCCGACATGAAATGGAAACATAGCTAATATTGGTAATAATGGTTATATTGGATCCGACATGAAATGGAAACATAGCTATTATTGGTAATATTAGTTATATTGGATCCGACATGAAATGGAAACATAGCTAATATTGGTAATATTGGTTATATTGGATCCGACAATGAATTATATTCGGACATTGATGGTCCTAATGCTGAAAGTTCATTTGTCATACTTTTTAGGATTTGATACATATTTCTTTATATAAGTTTACGTAACGTGTGCCTATGTCCCGATTTCTACTACACTTTTAGCTTTATAAAAAGCAATGGATTAGGTTCGGCAAAGTCTGAATAACTTGGCAATAAATTTATGGATAAGCACGTTTTACTGAAAGAATCAGTATTCTTATAAGCGGACCACCTGTATGTTATACATATTGATCATTTGACTGTCTGAACTAATTTCATGCAACGCCATGACTAAAAGTTGATACATTAGGTATTCGCTGATTGTGAGCTGGCCAGTACTCAGTTAGCAGATACAAAATAGGAAAATGGCAGGGATACCATCACCTCTTCGTGAACCAGAGATCAAATACACACAGGTAATGTATCAAGCAATTTTCCCTCTGACATTTTCACTTTCTTAAATAGTTTAAACATATATGAATACATGTATCTAAACTCTGATTATAAGTTTTTGTTTGTTTCAGATTTTTATCAATAATGAGTGGGTAAATTCGGTCAGCGGTAAGACATTTCCTACCATTAATCCAACAAACCGGAAGAAAATTTGTGATGTCCAAGAGGGTGATAAGGTAGTTTTCTAGATAATGAAGTTTCATTACAAAATTATTTTCTGACAACGTTTATCTGAAATAGCACCTCAGAAATGTGCATGAAGTAACACCAATTCTTAATTTAAATCAGAAAAATTGTATCCCTTGTATAGATGTTTGGTCTTTGTAAAACAATACCAGTACCTATATAGCATAGAAATAATTAAGAATTATACACATAATAATCTTTTATATAAGAGGGTACTGACGAGATATACATGAAGCAAAAACATGAGCTTCTAGCCTATTGCTTTATGTAATGTTTCACTTATATATTTTCAGAAACCTGCATGTTTATATCGAACTGCGATTTCATATTTAAATGTATATTTTTACTTATTGAAACCCTTACGTTCGTGAGAGTGGTGAAGATTGTTGCCTTTGAAGCGCTTGTCCGTAATTGCTATAGGTTCAAAAAATTTCATGTTAGGAAGATTTCATGTTAGCTTAGAATATCGGTGGTTCTGTGCAGGTATTCGCTCTTTTCTGAAATAACTATAATGTGCGAAGGGGTACCTGGGGTGTTTCTTATCTTTCTTAATCTGTTGATCATTTTTCTCGGAAAACTCACTTCATTTACTCAGGTTTTCTTATTTTATGACCAATTATGTGCATGTTTTGAAGCGTACGTTGATATGCTTTCGAGCTGATCATAAATTTGAATTTGCTAATTTCACACTTTGATCCCTGCAGCAACGTATGGCGCCTTAGGATTTTGTTCACTAATTTCCACATATCAAGATATTGTTTTTTAAGTTGTACTATGTTTCACTATGATGTCCCTTATGAGCCGTTGTAGTAAAGAAATGGATCCTCCGCAAGGCGCATTAAGGTTCAGGCCGCGTTCCATCAGTCATGATGTGTGTAGGTTGCTTCTAGGTCCGGAGAGTTCTGAATGGATCTTTCACATTGTTCACGTCTTTATTCAGGACTGATTGGTTTTTCATTTTCTGTCAACGACGCCAGAGATTTGGAGAATGACTGTGTCCACCTACGTTAGAGGACTTCAGTAATGTAATTGTATCAAAATACTAAAATAACTAAGGCAACAAATAATGCTTGCTTGTTTGTTTGCTGCAGTTATAAAGTTTTTGCGTTAGTAAGTTGGTCAATAATTGAGTACTTAGTGTCATTGAGAGCTAAGACACATAAAGCTCTCTCTTTTATCAAAATCGAGACGCATCGTAAATGAAACGTTACGAAACAGCTAACTTACATGCCACCTTGTCATGAAAACCGGGAAAAAGATATTCCTGTCCAAGAACAGACCAGTTCCAAGTTTTGTAATGGATCATATTACGTTTCCACGTTATGTAGAGTTTATACCGTTTAACTACGGTTTACTACATATCTCGTTTGCATGGTAACTGCCGTGGCAAATCTTTCATGGTTTAATATTCTGACACAGCATCCACGATGATTAAGGTCTGTCTCGTTTGCCCATGCCAGTACCCTGCGTTGAATCACGTTTACGGTGATCCGAAACGTGTAACTGCGACTTGACTATTAGGAACATAGCATTTACATAGCAGAACTGTACAAAATGTCTAGATTTTTTTTGCAACAAATTAAGTATAAAAACAATACAGTTTGTAGCATTCATCTTTCAAATTGTCATGTAGTTAACGTCAATTTCTTGACAAAAAGACGCGAAAATAAAAAAAAGTCATTTTGATACTTTATGTAAAGAAACTACTCATTTACCTACAGAAGTTATTATTGCGCTTAATGAAATATTGCTGACGGTAAACACAAAGCACAACAACTGATAAATCTTCATGGAAAATAATTCTAGTATAAATACATGTATTTAGGCTGACATTGACAAGGCTGTTGCAGCTGCAAAAATAGCGTTCGAGTTTGGATCGCCATGGCAACAGATGGATGCCAGTAAAAGATGTGCATTGCTGCATAAGTTTGCTGATCTTGTTGAAAGGGACAAAATATATTTGGCAGTAAGTCTTGACATGAAACTTTCTAGAGATATATAGCTATAATAAGAAATATAGAAATACAACTGCATGTTTTGCACATTAGATGAAGGAAAATATCACTTATATAGAAGTGTGAAAATACTTGCTTCAAGAAATTGTAAATCTTGTTCTTATTACTGATTTTTCTTTTTTAAGTGTTGTAGTGAAAACATAGATTCTTCTCATTGCTACATATGGTAAGTTGAGTCTATGTGAGGCTCTCATAGGATGCTTTGCACATCCAATTCTCGGCACTGGAAATTATGTATAGATACCCGGAAAAATAATCACATACATCTAGAGAAAATCCTAGCGAAAATACAAGATCAATGGTACTTTTCCCGCTGATTAAAAGAGATTTTGTTTAAACATTTTCTTTATTTTCTTTGCATGACATTTTTTATGAAACATAACTTGACATGTTTGTATATTATTTTTTCGCAGAGTCTAGAGACGCTTGACAATGGTAAACCTTTTAAAGACGCTTACTCAGGTGATATTACTAGAGTTGTTGGTACATTTAGATACTTTGCTGGGTGGACAGACAAAATACAGGGACGAACAATACCAATAGGTGATATTTTATTTGTATTTCTTGATTTTCTTAGTTAGTAAACTGTATGCCTGTGAAAGATAGATATCTATGTAAGTATATTCCGAAGTTGCACGGCACTTCTATTGGAAGCAACAAGACTTGTTTATATAAAATACCAAAGCTAATGAGGATGTTCAGTCTATTTTTGTTTTGAACCTTTTGTAATAACTATAGTCATACGAACATTTTCCAGTCTATTTGTCTGAAGTAGAATCATATTTTAATACATGTATCTATGTTTCAAGAGTGATCACATCTATAGAACTACTAGCGTAAAAATGCCACAAAAAGTCCTCTCCACACATTTAAAGAGACGGCATCCATGTTGGTTTCAAATTATCGTTGTTTGAAGACAATGACTGACCATAACCTCTAGGCTTCCAGTATATACGTTGTTTCAAACAATATTTACTTCTACGACCATTTACACATTTCAGATGGGAACTTCTTTTGCTTTACGAGACACGAACCAGTTGGTGTTTGCGGGCAGATAATCCCTGTATGTAGAATATCTACTCACCATAACTAATGTGTATATTGTTTATATGTAAATAAAAACATAGGTAATTCGATTGTTCATTGAAGTTGGGCATTAATCTTAACAACACTATAATAAAAATACCTCGGCTATTTCTAAGGACATTTATACAGTATTGCATGTAAAGCAGTAACTTTTAAGCAGTTTTGTAAACGTTATGAATATTACTGATATGTATTAAAGTATTATGGTTGAACAACTTTGCTTATTTCTTTCCGTTGTATTTTCTTCAGTGGAACTTCCCGCTAGCTTTGTTTGCGTTGAAGATTGCTCCTGCTCTAGCATGTGGAAACACCGTTGTTATAAAACCCGCGGAACAAACACCACTCACAGTTCTTTATGCAGCGCAACTTTTCAAAGAGGTTCATAAAATAGTGAATGTTCTTGTATTCAGTCAATTTTACTAAAATCTGTAATGGATAGCACTTGGGTAAACAATACGATAACTGAATACAATTTCTATGCTTTAATCTTTAATTATTAACTGAGTGGTAAATTTCAATTTGTTTTTCTATGAAACAAAAAACGTCATTACCTCAGCAACTTTTATTTGATACATGTACTAAATGTGCCTCAGAATCTTCACGTGGAACAAATGACTTCCGCATTTCATGTACCGAAAAAATTATTAATTGAAGCAAGCCGATCCATCAATTTTATGGTCAAGATGTGTGTTCTAGTTACGATTGTTATATTTATTGTTGTTTCGTTTTAATTTCAAGGCAGGATTTCCTCCTGGTGTTGTGAATGTAGTTCCTGGGTTCGGTCCTACAGCTGGCGGAGCAATCTCTTCCCATCCAGACATTAACAAGACATCGTTCACCGGATCTACAGAGGTAGTCATTCATAAGATCTGTATTGCTACAAATTGTAAATAAAGCTTCATGAGATGAACATCGCTGATTTGCATTCTTGCATAACTTTTGAAGATAAATCAACTTTTGATGTGACTGACGAACTGCTTTAAAGCTATTATAATACAGACTGTGAACGCTGTAAACATATGCTATGCAATCTAAATTTTCTTGCCATCATTGTCTTGGCACTGCAAATAATTCGCCTTATATGTTTCATATGTCGTTACATATACGAGATATTAAAGTAAATTAAGGGCATTTAATTCTAAGTACCATGCATTTTCCTTGCTGTGTAGTTGTTCTTTTAGAAACAGTCGATAAATTATTATTTCCAATGAATAGCATATAGAAAATTATTTTGCGTTCACCGTTGTCCCATTTAACTATCCGGAGAAAAAAAAATCATCTTTCATATTGTATGGCAAGTCATTGTATTGTGTACCAATTTATCAATTTATGTATGATTATCAATTAAGCAAAACAACAAACCGTTAGTCCACAATTTTGTCGCTGCGTTGTCATCTCTGGTTTCAATCTTCATTTTTGGATACAAATTTATAGAGCTCGTGCTATTCGGATAAGTTTTTGTCTTTTAGGTTGGACAAGCCATCATGGTAGCTGCAGCTAAGTCAAATCTTAAGAGGGTAACGCTTGAACTTGGTGGGAAAAGTCCACTGGTTGTTTGGAAAGATGCAAACTGTGAGTAAAGGCTGTCTTTCTTAACAATAAGTTCCATGTTTGATGACAATTGTAGAAACAGATGTAGTTAAAACAGAGACAAAAATATACATCATGCTAGTACTCAATGTGACAATTGATGTCGGACATTGAGTCTCATGGTCATTTTTATCTCGCTACTGATTCAAAAATCATGTTGGATAAGTAGTTGATTACTTGCATATTGGTTAGTTATCCAGGGGGATCGACAGCCGAGATATATATCCAAAAAAATGTGCTAAATCAAAAAAAAATCAAAGTTTAATTGTTATTTTCCCGTTCGTATTCCGGAGATCATTTGTTGTAAATATAAAAAGGTTTAGTAAATATACTCTTAAAGCACATAAATATGTAAAGCATTATAATATCAGGTCTGAGCATAGTCGGACTCCGTGAATTCTTTTTTTTAAACTGTGTATAGATTTTTTGAATATCAAATATACATTTATTTCATTTCAGTGGACGACGTGGTAGAATGGGCCGAACGTGCAGTTTTCTACAACTGTGGACAGATGTGTACAGCCGGTTCAAGAACATACGTTCATGAAGACATATATGAACAATTTGTTAAGAAGGCTAAAGCTCGTGCGCAAGCTAAAGTCATCGGTGATCCATTTGATCCAAAAAGCGAATATGGACCACAGGTTAAACCGAATTAGCATTACAAAGTATACCATGTATTGTATGAAAGGTATTTTATAAACACTTTTAAAGTACATCGTTTACACATTTTAGCTATGATGGTCCTGAAAGGTTGTAGCATAGATAAAAGTTGTGAGCAATCTTTGTTTATTTTTTCTCTAATTATCGCTCTAAAAGAGTGGTATTTGTGGTATTACGGGTAATATTTTCATTTCCATACTACTGTTATTCCATTAATGGACAGGCCCAGAGATTAGCGTGAAGACACGTTTATAATGGGTATTACTTCATTTCATCTCTTACCCTAGATGTATGGTTGTTAGTTGCATTATGGTCACAGGCAGAATCGGATAAGCAGATGAATACGGCTGCAAAAACGTTCCTTTACTTGTACTTCAAATTTCTTAAACAAATGGAACATTTTAAGTACAACTATTTATATAATACAAATAGATGAAATGATATCTGGTATTTTAGGTAAGCGAGGAACAATTTAACAAAATTCTCGAGCTCATACAGGATGGGGTCAAGGATGGTGCAGTTCTGGAATGTGGAGGACAAAGGTATGGTACAGAGGGTTATTACATACAGCCGACAGTATTCTCTAATGTAACAGAGGACATGAAGATAGGAAGAGAGGAGGTTTGGCCAATTTTATATAAATAATCATTATCTATTTTCTTAGGCTATGTTTTAGTATTATTATCCTTGTTTGATGTTGTCACACTTTAAATATCATTTGGTAGCAATAGTGTATCCTTAAACAATGATAATGTGTATGCTAATAGGATCACTAATGTTGCACAGTCCTTTAGAAAAGTGATCTGAATGTATAAAACCTAACTGTTTATCAATACAAATTTAGAATGAAGGTGTGAACTTAATGTTTTTAAAACGTAAAACTAAAGTTTAGTGATAGAAGAAGAGCATTTTCACTTGATTGTTGTGGATTTTAATGGTAACGTAAGTTACTTGTAACGTAATTGCACACAGTTTATTTGATGAAAGTAAGATTTTTGAAAATTCATAACGAAGCTGCAGGGATGTAAGTCTTATATTTCAAAACCAATACACAAGTATTTCCCTAAATATGGTGTTTAACAATCTTTATAAGATATGTTTAAAATGAAATCATATGATTTAGTAGATGTCAAAGATATTTTTCAGAAGCATTTTATTAAATAAGTTCTTCAAAGATATAATTGTCAACTTTGTTACTTGTACAGATATTTGGTCCTGTGCAATCAATTATGAAATTTAAAGACATGGAAGAGATAATAGCACGTGCAAACGACACAAAGTATGGTCTAGCGGCAGCTATATTCACTGAGGATATTGACACGGCCTTGACATTTACAAGCAGAGTCAAGGCCGGTACAGTTTGGTACGTTTTGTTATTTTGTTTTTTCATACATATTGTTTTAAACATTGCATAAGGTATGGATTTGAAAGCCGTGAGTTGACAATTGTTGTTGTTCCTGACTGTATAGGCGTTCACCTAAAATGTAAATGTCTCAGTTATTAGATACACCTTATTTCCATGCGCTCAATGTTGTATTAAATGTTTTACGCCGGATTACTGGAAATTAAAGATTGAAGATGATGTAATGTTATTCAGATATCGCACTAGATAATCTCATTCATCATGAAACAAACGGGACGTTTAAAGAATTTTGATCATGTTTTCTAGAATAAGAAACGGAATCCGTAACGGTAATATGTTTGTTTGTATTAAATTTTTGTTTCCCTTTACGAAAATAATTTTTAAAACAGAATTTAAAGAGTGATATCACCGAAAGAGCCTCGCAAATTATTGTCGTAATAAACTTTTTAAGTTAATTTTTTCTAAACATTCATTATGCTATGAAATATGTTTAATTTTATATTGCAGGGTTAACTGTTACAATAAGACGTCTATAAGTTCTCCATTTGGGGGTTTCAAAATGTCTGGAATGGGACGGGAGTTGTAAGACAACATTATATGTTTCACGTCATTGTAAACAATATCCTCACAACTACTGACAAAATAAACTAAAACATAACAAGAAGGACCACCAGTGCTTTCAATTATTTTAATTAAATTTTCATTTATTGATTAATGTATTCATTTGTTTGTGTGTTTTACTAATTGTCTGACTAAGGCTAAGTGAGGCTGGCTGGCTTCCTGCCTTACTAACTGACTCATAAGTATCATCGTTCTTCAATCTATTTTTCAGTGGGGAATATGGTTTGCAGGCATACACAGAAATTAAAAACGTAAGAAATTATTTTTGTATCAAAGAGTTGTCGGTTTAAATGATCTTAACAATATATTCTTTTCGTGAATGATAAGTCATGCATGACTGATGTATATAAGGGTAAATTCATTGTCAATTAATGCTAAACTAATCAATTATTAAGTCTTTTTTTAACGATCTACATTTTTGAGAAGGCTATCATAAACTTTTCGTAAAATAGTACATGTAGTCCATTAAAACACGTGAGGATGATTCAAAGTAGCATGACGCTCATGGTGATTGAACAATAATTGATAATTAGTAATGTTAAGGATAAAATATAAAAACTGCCATAATATTCAATTCTTTTTATCAACCGAGTGTACCGTTACATTTTGAAGGATATTTCAAAAATTTCCTTATACCATGCGGGTAATTGGATATTCGTGAAAGAAAAAATAAAGAAATTGGATGGGATGGACATAATGTCACTTCAAAGTTAATTTACTTGTGGTCTACTTAATACAATATATCATATTCAAAGTAATCAATAATTAAATGAAGCGTCGTATATGTCTATTACGCACGAATGTGAAAACAACTGTAAAAATTGCGCGATTGTAACGCCGAATTTGTGTGATACATATGTGACAACAGTTGAATAAAATTTCAGTTAATTGATTGATTTTCTCGCAGATTTGACTGATTACTTCATATATATGAAAATGAAGTTTGGATGACTTTTTAAGTTTAGAATTAAAACATTTTCTTGTATATAAATATTAAGTTTTAATTCATCATTCAACTTTCAGGTTGTAATGAAGACACCTGTCAAGCTTTAGAAGATGAGAGAACACTGAAATTATTGTAGATTCTAGTGAAATGTTGTATAATATATATATAGACAGTTGTGTATACAAACATGTTGATCAGTCCGAATGTCAATCGGTTTTAGATTATATGCATTGTATTTGTTTTATTGTTGCGCTATTTTTCTAGTGTTAATAGAGTTACATGAATATATCCACATGTTAACAGTTCACGAGTTCTTTAATGGAATGGCTAACAAAGCTAATAATTTCTAATTTTAAACCACTTTATTGACGTCACTTCTATGTCTTTATAGAAAGAATATATAATAATAAACCAAACTTCATATGGGAGGAGACAACGTGATAAATTTTTTAATAGATAATAGGGAAACTAAGGAGAACATACCTTGTTATTAACATATTATTGCAAAATTGTTAATGATTGAATCAATTTAAGGATATAACCTTAAGGTTTGTTTATAAAGATAGTCCATATTGAACTTTTGTAACCTTTTTTGTAATATTGGGACAAAATGCTTATGTTCATTTCAGATTAATCGTGGCCATTGTTCAACATAATAAAGACATATATCACAAGAGCACCGCACAGGCGTGGCAATATACGTCCGAATGCAAATTTGTTTTTAATAAATAAAATCTAAAGTAATCAAAAAATCAAAAATAATTTTTAAACAGTATAACATTTGTTCAAAATGATCCACATTTATAACATTTGTTCAAAATATGTTTTATTTCAATTATCAATATTATGCTCTTCATTAATACATGCCAAAGGGGCTTTGCTCTTATCACATGAATACATAGTGACAATTATATATGCCACAGCTTTCGCTGTGGAGTTGCAGTTATGCCCTAAAAAGCTAATTTTGAAGCACAGAGTGGTGATTATTTATGGAATTGCCACGGAGTATATATACCGACTGAAAACTAATATATAAAAAAACTAACTGGTAATGTTGGTTTTTAAAGAAACATATAAATAATATACCATGAATTTAATTGTTATTTAGTCAATGTACATATCTTTAGTAACATCATTTCAATTAATAAGATTGTCTTATTTCGAAATAATTAAATCATATAAACCAATAAAAGCTCCTAAATTATTATAATTTTAACAGGAAAAGATAAAAATATGAAGTTTGATAAAAAAAAAAACATTATAAAGTTATAGATTTTGGAAAATAACATATACATGTATATTGGGAGGAAACATATGATAATTCATACATTGCAATCTCCCTTTGTAATATATACACTTATTTTAAGATTTTGAATGAGTCAGTATGACCTTGACCTCAGGTAATCGTGCTCTGCACATCATCTCAATAATATTAATATTTCTGCCAGATTTAATTTCATACAATCGGTTTAAAAGAAACAGAGCGGACACAAAATTTTGAAATTTGAAGTGTGACCTTGACCTGAGGAAGGTCAAACCTGCACTCTGCACATCCTTTTATTATGGTTAAATTTCTGCCAAGTAGTTTCAGTTTCTTTCCGCCGGTTCAAAAGATACAGACCGTGACGAAAACTCCTATATAAGTCTAAATAAATTAATTTATCCTCGGGGCGGGGCCAATTTTGATCTTAGGAAGTTCGAATTTGTGTTCTGCAAGTCGTCTTAGTTATAAGTAATATTTCTGCCAAAAAGGTGCAATTTCTATCAGTTCAATAGATACAGAGCGGACACAAAATTTTGAGAGTGAAACAAAATGACTTAGTGTGAAAGCTAAAACCTGCGCTCTGCACATTGTCCCATTATGGTTTACATTTCTGCCAAGTAGTCCACCTGTTCAAAAAATACAGGCCGAAGAAGAAAACCTGTAAGAGACGGACGGAGTGACAACTAGATGCATAACAATATTATTTTTTTACTATAACTTAATACATAATTATACATAATTGGTTTTTCTTTCATAGTTTTGTCCTCCTTACTGCGTCCAGTATTTTTTTAGTCGAGCTTGGCTGTCTCCTGTGACAGCTCTTGTTATCTTATTAGAGTAACATCGGGTAATTTCAATATTTTCTACATTAAAAGCATTGTATTGTTGTAATATGGCTAATATCTCTGTTGCGCAAAAATTCATCAGCGCAACGGAGATTTATTATTTTCAAAACTAGCAAACAAAGTACTTTTTATTGAATTTGCATTAGTATATGCTAAGTAAAGTTATATTATGTTGAAATTACAGAAGTCATATGTTGAAAGCATTTTTTAATTATAAACATTCATTATATTGTTGTTATGTACTTTCATAAGCTCTGTTGCGCCGATGGATTATTGTGAAACGGGTATTTTATTTTCAAAACCATGTACTGTTTTTTATCTCTAAAACATAAAATAATTATATAAGTTGGTATTGTTGTCATTTTATACATATATTGTACAAGTTTGATTTTATAAAGTTGAATACGGAATATATCAGATTCCAAATGGACGGCGAAATGGACATAATTTCGGCGCAACGGAAAATAAAGATTTGCATAACTGGTAGATCTTATGTTTAAACATAACTTAAGAATTTGAGAATAATAAGTAACAGTCTTTTAAAAATGATTTACTTTCCTTTATTTTAGAAAATGTTGAAAATAGGATATTGTAAAAGATATTTAAATTACGGCGAAATGGACACATTTCGGCGCATCGGGGATTATTAGTTTTATTATATATCATATTAGTCAGATCCTTGGTCCGGTTTGCAGAAGTCACTTGATAGTTTATTGTCCTATTGTAATCGTTGGAATTTGACGGTAAATGTTAAAAAGACAAAAATTCATTGTATTCAGAAAAGGTGGTAGACTAATATGGATAAGTGGTTTTATAATAATCAAGAAATCCAGGTAGTAAATTCATTTAACTATTCTAAGGTGTGGTATTCACGAGTGGGGGTCATTCATGCAAGCTACAAAGACGTTAGCTGGAAAAGGGCTCAGATCATTATATTCATTGTTACAATTGTTACGTGACTACAAAGTACCAGTTAACATTACGTTTAATCTCTTTGACGCCTATGTTTTATCAATTTTAAATTATGGCTGTGAAGTATGGGGGTTTATGAATGCAGAAGTTTTGGAACAGGTACATAAAAAAATTTGTAGGTTTATTTTAAATGTTAAACAGTCAACAAATACTTTGGCATTATATGCAGAATTGGGGAGATTTCCTCTTTACATTGAAAGGCATATTCGTATGATAATGATAAAATACTTTCTTAAGTTAAATACAGGTAAAATAGATAATTGTATATTGAGAACAATATTGTGTAGACAGATATATGATGTTGATGTGGTAAATTGTTCAACAAACTGGGCTTCAAAAGTTAAAAACATTCTTCAGTCAGCAGGATTTAATGAAGTCTGGTTATATCCCGATTCTGTTAATAAAAAGCTATTTGTACCTATTTTTAGGAATACATTACGGGATATTTATTTATATAAGTTGTTGGAATGGGTGTACGGACATAATCCCCTTCGGACAAAATCCCCATCATGTATTTTTGTATTATCTGGACATAATCCCCTTCATGTGTGAAATTTTGAAGTGGACAAAATCCCCTTCATAAAATTGCTACCTAGGACTAAATCCCCCTCGGAGGAATTTTTGGTTTATAAAGTGGGTATGAGAGCGACATACTGCATTATACTGTGTGGTAAATATCTTAATGTATAAAAAAAAGTAGAAAATATTTCAGCAGAAAAGCACATTCAATCAGCACATTTTAATCACATTAAAATTGCTTTGTTAAAGCATTCATAACAATCAAGTTGTGCAGTGATCTTGGTTTGATTAAATTATCACTCTTTCATCAATAGAAATTTTAACAATGAATCAACTTATACAATCATTGAAACAATTATGGCTAATAAAAACGTTTTTCATACTTATCAATTTAAAACAATTAAAGAAATTGTCTAATCAAATATGTGTTATGCAGTTGATAATTTAAACTTCTAAACTAAATAAAGGTTAACTATTGATACATAATTATAAATAAAAAAACAAAAGATCATTATTCATCAATTTTTAGGGAGTATAATAATACATTATTCATCAATTTTTATGGAGCATAATAATACATAAGAAACCTATGAAACAAGGGGATTTTGTCCGGGTAGTGAAGGGGATTTTGTCCAGCCTTGCAATAACACGAAGGGGATTATGTCCACCCATGAAGGGGATTTTTTCCGAAGGGGATTATGTCTGACATTCGTCCGGGGTCCGTACTCGACAGCGAAAGATTAATGGTCTAAAGGAGGTAAATATGGTTTTAATAACGCACACAAGCATGATTGTAGTAGGTGTCCGTGTGGCCTATGCATGTCCGCTTCTTGATCCTTTATTTTAGGCAACAACACATGTTGAGTTTATTTTAGACAACACGTTCAACATCCTAACATATAATGCATATAATGGTCTCATTGGCCTCCCGTGGATTATTTCATTAAAATATCATAAAAACGTTTTGCATTCTCCTTGGCATCATTCACTGAATAACTTAATTCTAATTAAATAGGTCACCACTTTCGATATTAATACATTTTAAGGGCATGACTGGCGACATGTCCGGGGATCGTACTCTCAGTGCCTGAAAGGGCGAATGGACCCTCATTAAACATAGACAACACACACGCATATTAGGTAGCACAAGTTACAAAGCCATTCTACCGCCCATCTCTCATCTATATTTATTTAGTAATCTTTTATTAAAAGTAAATTTAAATCACTCCTCTTACTGTAATTATTACATATTAAAAGGTTTTTGATTTAAATCTAGTGACTTCAAGAAATCTTGAATTAAATGCTAGTCTGTTATTTAGTTTGATAACTTAAAACTTGATGCGTAATTTTGGTGTTTTGTTTATTTCCTATATTAAGTCCAGAATACAGGGAAGGCGAGATGAGTCAAAGCTTCAGCTTTACAAATATAAGGAGAGAAACTTGCGAAGCCAGGTTGTGATAGCTTTGCAACCTGTCGCCTCGGGGGAAGCCATCTCCTGCTACAGATTAATTAAAGTTACGAGCCATCGCCATCTTTATTCAGAATTTCAGGCATAGTATAACTTTGTGAATTTATGCATTAGGTTCTACTTTTTCACAAAATCATGCAACTTATTAGACAACGAGGACATACCAAGAAAAATTGATTAGTGCTTCGGATATTCAACTGTAATAGAGAATAATTTTCAAGGCTGGTTTTGTACATTACCCCAATTCCTAAGTGATAATATTTTAGCATCAGACTATCATTTTTTCATTTTGGCATCCTATTCAATCTACTCCAATGTAAGAAACAAGTTATTTGGAAATACACCATATCTGATATCTTTGCACATATCCTCGCCCCTCGCATCAGTGTAAATATCAACATAAAAATGCTATACTAAATGTACCTCTGAAAATAAGTACAGAAACTCTTGTTAATTTACATGCTTCTCAGCAGATATTAATTTTCACCATGTTTATGTTTGAAATTGT